TTGCTTCGGGTGCGGGTGCGGGGGACGATGTGGTTGCTGCACCGGATTTCTCATTCCAGGAGGTTGAGGTTGATGATGATGATAATGACGAGGATGGGCGAGGGTGCAGGGCGAGGGTCTTTTCGGTTGGGGTGTGTGGATGGGGGGTGTAGGCGGGGAGGGGTGGGGTGGGTGGAAGGTAGCCTTCGTTGTTTTCGCGGTAGTGGTTCGATGGTGGAGGTGAGGCTGAAGGTAAAGGTGGAGGTGGAGGTGGAGGTGGAGGTGGACGATTAGGATCTGGGCTTGGGATGCAGCAGAGCCAGCTGGTGATGGCGCTGAGGGGGGACATTGATGGTGATTCCAGCAGGTGCAGGTGGTGGGCTATCGCGTTATCGGTGGGTAAGATGATAAGTGCCAACTTATCGATAGAGAGGGAGAGGAGGACAGTATCTGGGGAATCGGGGGTGAGACTGAGTAAGTTGGACAGGTATATAATCGACCGAGTTGAACAGATCACAACAAGTAAACGTAAACAATCGAGGTAGGTACTAAGTAGTAACTCAGTCCACGGTGTCACCTCGACTGGTTGATGGGAAGACAGACAGTCAAATCAAGAAGTCAAAAGGCTGGCTGACACAGCCTCAGCCTCAAATCCCAGGCATCCAGATTCCCCACACTGTTGATTGGTCTGTGTCCTGCAGTTTCGTCCCACTTCCAGCCTTGCCAGTTGGCAGCGCTAACACCTACGCTAAGCTAAGCAACACCACCCCCGGAATCCTCCCCCTCATACGCATCCACTTCATATTGCCCAAACTGCCGCGTCGGCACTTCTCGGGCAAACATGACGTCCAATTCCTCATAGGTCCGTCCCTTGGTCTCCGGCAGCCGGAAGTAACTCCACAGAAACGTCAAGAAAGCCGTTCCAAACCAGAAGAACCCCGTGTATCCCCGCCAATTCCAGGCCGTGGGGTTCACCATCGACGGCTCCAGCCCATTGGCCACCACGCACGCAATGTAATAAGAATTCCGGGCCAGGACCACCGTCTTCGACCGCAGCCGCGTGGACGAGACCTCGGGCGGGATCACCCACGCGATCGGGCCCACCGTCATCGAGAAGGTGAAAATCCAGACGATGCAGAGGACGGACTGGGTCCAGAGCGCCGCCGCCGCCGGGCTGCTGCTGGTCGTTGCCGGCGTCAGGCATCCGATCACCAGAAGATAGACGCTCATCAGCCCCATGCCGCCCACATACATCGTGCGCCGTCCGAAGAAATGCATGGCGAGACCCGACGCCGTCGTGCCCACGAAGGCCAGCCCCGCGCCGCCGAGGCCGAGCTTGTACGACTCGTCGTCGCTCATGCCCGCCTGCTCGAAGAAGTAGGTCGGCGAGTACGCAAAGACCAGCCCGGTGAACACCTGGCCGGCCAGCGCCATGCAGGCGATCTCCGTGCGCCGGGCGTTGGGCCCGCGGAAGCAGTCCAGGTAGGACCCTTCCTTGATCTCTTTTTCCAAGTGGTTGGTGTACACCATCAGCGCAACGGTCTGGTGAGCGGTTTCGGGGTCGGGGTCGGCCAGGAGCCGGTTGACGATCTGCACGGCGGCATCATACTGGCCCCGCCGGACGTGCCACCACGGGGATTCGGGCATGAAGCAGCCGCAGACGAACAACGGGACCGGCCACACCCACTGCAGGGCAAAGGGGATGCGATACGACCATTGGCTGTGGAGATCGATCAGCCCCTGCAGCACGCCGGCGCTGATCAGCTGGCCGATGACGAACGACACGTTCACGAAGGCCGTCAGATACGGCCGCAGCACCATCGGACACAGCTCCGAACTGTACGCCGGCCCAAGGGTCGCAAAGATGCCCCACGGGAGTCTACCGCAGGATGATCAGCTCGGCCGAACCACATAGCCCCATTGCAAGAAGCCAAAGGTGAGAAATCACCTACCCACAAAGAATCTGCCCCGCCACTTGCACTCCGGCAGTGTCGCCGAAAAACGGAATGAAGATGAAAGCCCCCATCAGCACCTGGGCCAGCAGAAAGACCCGCTTGAAGCCCCACCGCTCGATTAGATAGCCATTGATCAGTGCGCCGATCATACACCCCAGGTTCCCTGCCGCTCCGAGGGCTGACTGCCAGGATCCGGCGACCTGATATCCCTTGCCGGGGTGTTCTTCGCCGAACTGCGTCCGGAAGGCCGGGTAGCCGAAGAAACTGGTGATGAGGATGGTGTCGTAGCCCTCCATGACGATGGCGATGGAGGGGACGAGCGACCACACGACGGCCCACGGGAAGAGCTTCAGTGCCTGCGTGACGGACATCGCGTGCTCCCTGGCGTTTGCGGCCTTGGCGGCCTCCACCGAGCATTGCCATGGCTTGTCAGTTTCGGTGTCCTCACAGGGGGTTGTCAAGTCGGTGGTGACTGTGCTCTCCCAGTGGGAGAGGCCCAGTTGGGTTTTGGGGTTGGACATTTCCTTGGTGTGTGGTGGGAGTAGAATGGGGGTGTGCAGCATCAAATATCATAAAGTTTGAGAGGGTATGGAAGCGGTCGAGCCCATCTTCCCCCCTGCAGGAGAATAATGCCTCAATGATTTACCCGCCACGCAAGTGATAAGGGCTAAGACATATCACGCATGTCTTTTGTGGTAGTCTGTCAGTGACAAGGAAGGGTCCAAAACCGTGGGAGTAGCCAATCTGAGGCTGACGATCTATCCAGTGCCCTCGCATTCTTAGCTGGGTGGGTGATGCACCCCCTTCAACATTCTTGTAGATAAAACCTCAGGGTTGTCTGAAGGCCGTCGACTGGGCCTAGACAACCTCGGCGTCCCCTATGCCTCTGGGTAGAGCGGTCTAGCCTTGAACTTGGCAGGCTATTCGGAGGATGCAGATGCAGATATACCGCGCAGTGTATGCAGTCGTGCAACAAGCAAATAGAAGCCCCAAAGTCACCCGAGACGTCCTCCGTCCTCTTCCCTGTCCCTCCTCCCTTCCCATATCCCACATCTGAACACATCAACAAGCCTACCCCTATCGACCGACCATGAACCCCCAATCAACAACGCACTCAACCTCCCCCAAGAAACCAATTAATCGCCTGCACCTCCGACCTAACCCTCACCCCAATCCACCACAGATCCACACTCCCCAACAACTCCAACCACCGCCGCAACACCACCAACGCCGCAACCTCCTTGCAGACCAACCTCTCAAAAAACGCCGGCTCCAACCGCCCCATCCAGCCGGTATACGCCCCGAAGCTCCGAATGCCCCTGGGTAGCTGCACCAACCCACTCAGCATCCGCACCGGCTCGTAATACACATTATTGGCGGGGTTGCTGCCCGCATGGATGCCGCAGAGACCCGCCAGCCCGGGATCGAGCCCCCACCCCGCCGCCACCTTTTCAGAAACATTGCTCTCGTCGACGTCAAACACCCCGCGATACTGCGCCGCGGACGCCATGAACACCTCCCACCACATACTCCCCCGCTGCCAGGGGACGGTGGCCTCCAGCAGCCGCCGCAGCCCCACCTGCAGGGTGAGCCAGGTCAGCGCGGTGGCGGTGTGTTTCGGGGATGTGGCGAAAACAAAGGAGCCGTGCGGGTCGTAGCGGTCGAGTTCGAAGGAGCGCACCGTTAGGAGCAGGCACGCCCCGAAAAGGCCGTCCATGTTATGCGGGCCGATGGTGGCAAGTTGCTGTAAGTACTGCGTGATGGCTTGTTGCCAGTGGTAGGTTTCGGTCAGGGCGTAGGGGCGGTGTTTGGTGGGGGTTGTGTAGCGGAGGTGGGAGGTTGCGAAGGCGATAATCGCGTGCATTAGGTAGGGGGACTGTTAATACCCATTGTTTAGCGATTGGGGGTGGGCTTGGTTGGTCTGGGGAAAGCGGGGGGTGCAGGGGATAGGGCAAGAGGGTGGATAGGTAGGGTAGGGGGAGAGGCTCGTACCTCGAATCCGAGCTGGATCACCCGTCTTTGGTACTCGGCTTGCGGGGCTTGTGGCCCGAGGGCCGGGTCGGAGAGACCATAAAAGTGATGCAGGGCCTCGACGCGGATAGAGGGCGAGGCTCCCTGCGGTAGCTGCAGGAGGTCGTGGAGCTGGGTGCCTACGGCTTTTTGGGCTAGATTGTATGCTTTGGAGTCCGGCGAGCTGGTCAGGAACCGGGTCATTCTTTTCTCGGGGTCCGTGCTGCTGCTGCTGCTGCTGGGTTCATAGCTACAGTCCAGGTTGAGCTTCTGGCAGCGGAGGCAGTGGGGTTTCGATTCGTCACACTGCGATCCTTAGAAAAAGGCTGGTACTGGGCAAAGAGGGGTTGGTGTACCTTGACTCGGCGTTGTTTACACTTGGAGCATCCATTGCGGGATTTCCGATGCGCGCGGCGGGCATGATAGATGCGTTCCGGTTGGGAGGAGGGGAGTTGGAGGTGGAGGATTCCCTGACCTGCGGGGAGAGACATGGTGAATGATCATGACTATGACTAAGAATAGCTGAGCCTGATCAACCTGCTGGTTCGATTCAGAAACCTTGCAACATGGGGATAGGGAACAATGAGGGGAAGACAAGCCCGAGATGGAAGCCATCGACACACAGTAAGGCTGACACGCTAGTCCCGAAGAAGCACCCTCGTATTCAATCCATCACCATCATTCTTATGCATCATTTCTTAAAACTCCAATGCAACCACAGTACGGAGTACAGCGTACAGCGTACAGCGTACAGCGTACAGCGCACAAGACTCAAACATCACCAACGCATGCATTCATTACTTCATACACATCACCCTCACTCCGCCCCCCTCACCCCAAACTCAACCAATCTGCGCATTCGAGAAATCCATCTCTGCAAACCATTAGCAAAACAATTCCCCTCCACTATCCCCCAACCTACATCCAAGGTGCCCCCCAAGAAAGGCAAAACTAACCGGGATGTTCGGCCTGGAACTTCTTCAGAATATCCATCTTCTTCTGCTCATCGCTGGTCAAGCCCCCGGTCTCCTTCTGGCGCTGATCGTACATCATCTTCTCGACCATGGCGCGCGTCTCGCCGTCCAGGTCGCTCAGCGAGGACGACTCGGGCGTGATCTTGCTGACGTCGATCTTGGGCGCCCCCGTCACCACATGCGGCCACCACTCCACCTTGTTGACCTTGTCCAGGTGCACGGCCACCTCCTTGCCCGGCGGGTGCGCGGTCGTCTCCAGCGTCCACGAGCTTTCGTCCACGACGATCGGGTGGGGGAAGGTGCCCTGCGTTTGTGGGGGGAATTAGTTAGCATCTAATCCCTGAGCCAGGACTGTAGATAAACCCTCCCTGGTACGGGGGCGAAAGGACAAACCTCAATAATAGCCTCCTGCCCCCGAACCGCCACCTTGATCTTGGTCTTGGTGAGCACGACATCCAGATCGCGGCCGCGCAGGTGGCCCGGCACGGGGATAGTGACCTCGACGTCGCGGATGGTCTGCGTCCATTTGTAGGGGAGCTGGGCCTGCTCGGCCTGTTCGGCGGCCTTGCGGGCGTGTTCCTCGGCTTCGCGCGCGGCGAGGTCGGCGGGGGTGGGTTCTTGTTCCGACATTGTCTTCTGGCTTCTGGGTATTTGGGAGGGGTGTTAGTGTTGACGTTATGCTAAGGGGTTGGATGGGAGGATAGGTCCGTACTGTACCGCAACAAATTGCTGGGGATCGGAGTGGGTGAGGACGTTGGAGAAAAGAAGAGGGCTGCGGGGGAATATTCGATGGTGGAGCGGTGCTGCGGCGGCGGTTCGAGTAGCTTCCGTCCGTTGCGGGGCTTGGGTTTTTGGGTCGAGAGCTTATTGGGGTTTGGTTGCTGTTGGTCTGGTACTGCAAGTACTACTAACTATCGTACCGTTCGATGAATATGTACGCAAGAGGTCCCATACTCTCTCGATTAAGTCCAAGAAAAAGTGGAATATTGGCTCTGCTAAATGTTGAAGATATGACAGCGTCACAAAGATCATTATGCCCTATATGCTTTGCGTATGTCCCGAATCCCTCGCAACAACCTACCCTACCCATGGCAAACACTCCCCCAACTAAACAGTCTCCATGCTTCCTGCGCATCATGACTGCATACCCACTAAGATGCCATCAACACAACAAGATTACCATTTTCCATCTCTTCCCCCCATCCCACCCAAGAATGTAAGATTTTGGTTTCGCACAAATGCTAAGGAAGATAAGAAAGCTGAAAATGCTCCCACATATCCCATTGAACGCCATTGAAATGGATCCCCGTATCATCCTCGTCATTCCGTACTATCCGTTAGAATCTCTTCTCCGAAAAGATCGACTTCATGGAGGCCGTGCAGGTCGCTCGGGTCGAAACTCGTCGAGCTCGGTTCCGGATGCGGCACATCGGATTCCACCTCCGCCGCCGCGCTACTACTAACTTCACCACCTTCCAAGAACCCGAAGAACTGGCCCGCATACTCGGCGGTCGCGTTCGCCAGCTTCGCCTCTAGGATCCCCTCGAGCATACGCATGTCTTCCTTCCACTTCTGCTCGCGGCGGGCCTTCTCCTCTGCCGACCGGCGGCAGGTCCCCTCGCGTTCGCGTACCTTGACGCAGTTTGGGCAGATGTAGTTGACTTCGCAGAAGGAGCATTTGCAGGGTGGGTTGGCCTTCACGCAGTCCTGGCACACGTAGACGGCGCAACTCGTGCATTCGCGGAGCACGCTGGCGCACCGCTGGCGTTGGTCGCCGACGGCACGGTACTGCGGGCAGAAGAAGGATTGGCAGCCTTGCCATCGGAGCTGCTCGGACGGCGAGTCACAGTAGATGGAAGATGGGGAGGACGATCGCGATCGGTTGGAGTTGGACAGGGACAGACTTCGGGAGCGGCGATGGATCAGCGAAGCCGGTCCCGGGGGTTCGGGCAGAGCGCGACTGCGCACCTCCCCGGCCCCCTCACCGTGGTCCTCGGTGAAGCTGCTCGTCGTGGAGTCGATCACCCGCTGGGTCCGGAACGGTAACTCGAACTCAGGGACGGAGTGGGGATAGGCCATGTGCGGGGCCAGGTAGCCGCGAGAGCCTGATGCAGCGTGGTTTTGGATCGCCATCTTCTCCAGCGTCAAGTCCCGGTAGCCACAAATCCTCAGCCGTAGACCGCGAAGATCATGCTCAATGCACAACGGCTTCGAGCAGCTCTTGCAATGCACCTTCCACTGCGGCGTGTCGTAGCAATCCTGGCACAAGTTCCGGGGACAAGCCGTGGGTTGTCGGTTAGGCGGACCCAGCAGCCACTTCATCATGGCGATGTGTCCCGTCTCGAGGGTGTAATCCGGCTTGCGTGGGTCCCCGTAAGCGTCGCGCGGGAACGTCTTGCTCCATTCCTGAGCCGAGATCTCGAGGTCCTCCCAGCCTTGTCCCCTGGGTAAAGGCACCGCGCGCACTTGATCAACGTCCCGATTGGAAGTGCCGATACTGATCCCGCCTCCGCCGGAGAAAATGGGTTCCGTGCAGCACCAGTGCAGCTTGAGGGCCGGATAAGCGGCGGAAGCGGTGGGGTTGGTGGTGAGTGGCTCATGATCCGTGAGTTCCACTGGGTCTTGCATCGAACACGGCGAAACTGTTGCGCCAGGGGCCCACCAGAACGGATTCGACTCCTTGGTCGAGGAGGGCTCCAAATGACCAGCAATGTAAGGCCGATCGTATGCACAGCTAGCACACAGAGTCTTTCGACATCCGACGCAGTGCATCAAGATGCTGCATTGCTCGCACCGCTCCGGGATCACTTCGCAGCAGTTATCACAGCGGATGTTCTGGACAAATTGCGCGTGACTTTGACGCAGATGCGCCGGTTTCATCTTGCCGTCACCGAGATCACCAATCTCGCCCGTCCCCAGCGGTTCGCCGCAATAGCCCGTCTCATTGTGCTCCCACAGCTTGCCGTCACGCTGAGCTGGCCTGTTACCCGAGTCGATCGGTCCGATCCAGTTCTTCGACCTCCACAGCCGATCAAAGACGACCCAGACCTCGGCCGAACCCTGGGGAATCCGCATCGACACGTACCCTCTTCTGCGGAAGCACCGCCCGGCCGGGGTCGAGCACCACGCCGTATCCGTCCAGATGCCCAGCTTGTGGCAGAGGTTGACCAGCTCATGTGTGGGCTCGGAATCCGAATCCTTTCGCGACAGCGATGACGTGAGGTAGGGGCGACGGCGGTGGTGGCGACATCGGTAGGTGTATAGACTTTTGAGAGCGAGGTGTTTGGTGGCAGGAGAGCTACCGATATTCCGTTCCATGTTCACGTCGTACTGGAGACCAAACATGGTCAAGTAAGGAATAATGTGATACTTGAGTGACACGTTCTTGCACCCCCGAACAGAGAGATGCTCCAGTGTCTCCCGTCGAGCATGAAGGACTGTGGAGATAAGGATCTGACCCGAGACCGCCGTGTTATCCAACTCCAGGCTGCGCAAACACGGGCTGAACGGAAGCACCACATTCATCAGCAGCTGATCGAGAGCGTACGGTCGCGACTGACGGGGCACCACTGCCTCCGAGGAACCGGTGAGGACCACGCGAATCGGGGGAGGCGTGCCTGAGGGATAAAGGAGCCGGAACGAAAGGTACTTCCATGCTGTTGGGTATGAGCGGAGAAAGGAGCGGAGGTAGCGGGAAGTGTGATAGAGCGAGAGAATAGAGTCGGTGGGGGTCTGCAGAAGGAGGGATTCGAGGATGGGCGCATGAGTGGTGAGGACTCTTTCGAAAGTTGATAAAGAGTGTTGGGCGTGGATGTCCGACTGCTCCAGCGCGGATTCCACCAGCACTTGCTGGCTCGGGCCGGCGGTGTTGTTCTTCTCCGCGTCCATCGTTATCGTCGATAGTGAGAGTGATACGGAGGGCGCTACCGGAGTATGTCGGTCTGTCGGTCTGTTACGACGGCGCTGCGGCCGAAATTCCAGCTTGATCTTTTTCTATGTGTTGAATGTCTTGGTCAATGGATTGAGTCCGGGACTGAGTCGGAGGGTAGAGTGTCGCGGGATCGCGAGCACGGCGGAGAATGCGGGTATGAGCGCCCATCATAAGGGGAATAAAGAGGGCGACTATGCGCAAGGAGGACGGGTTTACATCCCAAGGCTGAACATCATATGAGGGAGGTCTACCAAGGGAGAAAAGACCAAGCAGGCAGGGAAACCGATGAAGAAGACCGCAACAGGGTTTTTTTATATGGGGGAAAGGGTGTAATTGGAGAAAGAGAAGAAGGGAAACGAGAGTGAGGTGAGGTGAGGTGAGGTGAGGTGATGGTGATGGATAAGTGAGTAAGTGAGTGAATGTGGGTGTGGTGGGTATGTGTGTGTGTGTGGCTTTGCCAACTCACCTCAGATTGGGGATTGGGACAAAATCCAACGACGGCTGCCGGGATCTGCCCGGCCCAGCATCATGTGATAGGTCGCTTCGACCATCACGAGCCTGAATTGGAAATGCTATCGACTGGCATGATGATGCGGATTTTGCTGAGGTCGGATGATAATCAGAGAGAAGAATAATAATACCTTGAGGAGGGGGAGGGATGAAAGGAGGGTGAGAAAAAAAAAGCCTAAAAAGGGATAGGGAAACTATTATTCCCTCAGCATGGTCATGATTCTTTCAGTAACTTAGTGATTGAACTCTCCCGCCTTTATTGAATCTTCAACTATCCGTAGACTACCGGTACTCCATAACTTACCTGACTTTGACTAGTCAACTTGCAACTTACCTCACCCAACATCTCTTTTTGGGCCGCTAGGAGCAATAAGGCATGAAAGCACGCTTGACCAGTCAGATCTGCATTGTCTACCGGCCCAGTTAAACGATCAGTCAACAAGAAAACTTGATTTGGATGCACCGCCCAGGGCACAAGAAGTCTATCATCTATCCTAGTGTCGATCACCATCCTCGCCCACCGTATACCCCCTTGCGATTCCCTTACGCCCTTCTACCACCAGCGTGCTATCCGGCGCATCTTCCTCGTATTGAATGTCAAAATCACTTCCCAGACCTTTCCACGTCCGTTGGGATTGCAGGAATTCCGCCCCGGGCGAGAACGTCCCGCCGATCATGGCAATATCGCCCTTGGCTCGCCTGGCCAAGGCGCGCGCGGCCGAGGGCCCACTAGCGGCCGATATGGCCTCCTCTGCTGAGGAAGCGGAAACGCGGGGTGCAGCATTCCGCATGGGGCGGGAGTGCGAGACATACCGACCGGTGCGCAGGTCGAATTCCGGTGGTGCGGACTCGGGTTCCGACATCTCGCCTTCCTCGTCCGCCGCGGGGTCCGCATTCTCCGCCTCTGCCTTTAATTGATCGAGGACGCTCTGGAAGTCACTCCGCCAGGCTCCGGTCCACACCCGCTCGGTATCGCCCTGGAGCGTGAGCTCCAGCTCCGATGGAGTAATCACCGGCTTCCAGAAATCCTTGCTATCGACCAGAGAGCTTTCCCAGCATCCGATGACCACCCATCCGCCGATCTCGCTGAAGTTGGCCACCTTGGCCGCGTTGAGCTTGCCCACCACAAACAGGTAGCTCTTCTTTCCGGCGGCCGCAATCCGATCACGCACATGCTCCACGATGTGGAGGTAGTTCTTCACGCTCAGCGTGTTGACGAGGATGCCGAAGATGGGCACGGTGTTGAGGGAGGTCAAGATGGCATACCGGCGACGCAGGGCAGCCGCCGTGGACGCGGGTAACGGCTTCACAATCTCCTTTGTCACGTCATCGGTGGGATAGATATGGATGGCGGCGACGCGAGACGCAAGGGTCAGGAGTAGGGCCGTGGGTGGGTCGGAAATGTGGAAGAGTTGCCAGTCAGAAAGTGACTCCGGAGTCTCTTGGACCGATTCCGGGACGGTGCGGTTGGGGATAGCGGAGGAAGGGTTGTGGACGATATCCGTGGCGAACAGGTTGGTGTAGCCCTCCTCGACGAGACGCGAGTAGACGGTCGGGACATGGTTCGAGTAGGTCACATCCGCCGCCAGAATGGCCTTGGTTTCAGGGTCAGGGTAGGTCTCCTTGAATGCGCGAACGAGGGGCTCGAGAGGCAGAGGCTTTTGTGTGAAAACGTAGATGACCGGCAGCCTGGCTGTCGGGGACAGACACGACCGGCCGTAGTGCACGACAACGTCCGCATCCACATGCTCCGCGGCCACCTCGTCCACGCAGCATGTACCGTAGGAGGTATCCGCCAGAATGTATAGTTTCGGGGCAGGCGCGGGAGTCGCATCGACCTGGAGCTGGCCAACCGAGTCCGCTAGCTGTTCGGCACCGTCGGTGCTGCTTCGCCCGTTGCTGTGTGGTTGAGGGGGGGCATCGGTCACGTCCAGACCGCGGCTGAGGAGTTGAAACACCCGGGGTGCATCAGGGAGCATGTCATCCGGAAATTGGAGCGCAATGCGCTTATACCGTGCCCGGCGGATCTCTTTCAGCGTGCGTTCGATGTCATAGGTAATCGAGAGCTCCTCATCGGAGAGCGTGCGATTCGGTTCCTGAGACGCAACCGGGTCGGTGGATTCCAGGATGCGATCATCCGGAGTGGAGAGGACGGGGGCTGCCTCCATATCGTTAGCCTTGGTGAGGGGCATTATAGAGCGGTGATTCGCAGAATCGTGAGCAGCCCAGGGCTGGCAATTGAGGATGGTGTTGATGAAGGTGGTGGGGAGGGAAATTGGGCGGAATTTTTGACTGCGAGGAAAATCCAACGGATTTCCACCCCACTTTCACCCCGCCATCCGCAGGGGAGCCAATGGCACTCATGAGGATTACTTGGTTGTGGTGCCATACATACGAAGTAGAATTAAAGCAACAAACCATTCTCACCACAATTCTTTACAAGTCAATCATAATTGCATAGATAGAACCTGGATTCAATGGCCGTCTCATGCCTACCCTTAATTTGCTTGTAATGACAAATATATACAGAAAGATACCTTATCCATCTACAAATCCGCCCGGGCCGGCTCACCAGCCCACACACGCCGGATCAGCTCACGAATGGGCTCCCGCTCGATCTCGCGCGGATTCCAGTACGGGTTGCTGACCGCAATGTCCGCAGCCTTGTCGATATCCTCCTCCTTCATGCCGAAATCCTTGAGGCCGCGCTTGACCTTGAGCTTGGACAGCAACACATTGAGGCCATGGATGGCGTCCCCGTTGCTCTCCGGAAGGGCCTCGGCCAGCTTCTTCATGGCCTCGGGGATCTTGGGCGCATTGTACGAGATGGCGTGCGGTAGGACCGCGGTGTGGGTCTCCGCATGGGGCAAGTTGAAGCTCCCGCCCAGGGTGTGGCAGAGCTTGTGATGGATGGACATGCCAACGCTGCCCAGGCACGTACCACACAGCCAGGCGCCGTAGAGGGCGGACGAGCGCGCCGATGGGGAGCTGGGGTCCTCCACGATCTCCGGCAGGGCGGAGGCCAGCGCACGGGTGCCCTCCAGGGCCATCAGGTTGATGACGGGGTTGGTGTTCCGAGCGTAGAGCGCCTCCACTGTCGTGTCACGGGTTCTAAATCAGCATCCAGATTCTAAAAATCAATTTGGGGGGGGGCGGAAAGGGTTGGACACTCACCAGCGTGCGCGATGGCATTCACACCACTCGTGGCACTCATGGCGACAGGCAGGGTCATGGTCAGGTCCACATCGTAGATGACCGTGCCCGGCAGGATCTTGGGATCGGAGCGAGTCTTCTTCAGACCGTCGGCGGTCTCGCCCAGGATCGGAGTCATCTCACTGCCGGCGTAGGTCGTGGGAATGCAGATGTGCGGCAGTCCGGTGCGGATGCTGATGGCCTTTCCGAGGCCAATGGTGCTACCACCGCCGACGGAGATGACGGCGTCCGCGCCCTGCGCGTTTGCGTATTCCAGTGCCTGGTCGGTGATGTGGGTCGGGGTGTGCATGGTGGCCTCGGTGAAGATGCCCGCGACATGGCCGTTGAGGACGGCCTTGACGCTCTCGGCTTGGCTGACTTGGTGGGGGGTCGAAAGCACCAAGGGGGCCTTCACATTCAACCGAGCAACCTCATCCGGGAGCTTCTGGAGCGTGCCGCTGCCGAAGATGACACGGCCGGGGTTGGAATTGTATTCGAAAGCATCCATGGTGAGTGGAGGTTTGGAGGTGGATGGTGCGCAGGTTTATTGGGATTGCAAGATAGCGGGGAAGAGATGAGAGGGTTCGGGGGTGATCCTGATAGATATAAATAGTCTAGTAAGATGTGCCTGGATCCGAGTCTCAGGGAGATATCCGAAGCTTGATCATCATGAATAATAAAGGTATTTTCCCCACACCCCACCACTTCCGTCGTCAACGTCATGAAGCCATTGGGGCGGTTAAGGCAAAGGCTTTCTGCCGTGGGTTGCACCCGCGCCGAAGGTGGAGGGCTTCGGCAATTCGCCCGCTATCGATTCCGTACCTCCATACTCTACACAATTTCTCGAGAGAATTGATTATCTTGTTGACTGCTACATCAACATCAACAAGGCATGCAACTATGAATACTGCAACTGTTGTTGACCCTTCTTCTAATTAAATCATGCTTATACACGAGTGGAAAGGAATGAACAAGACAACGATGGATTGCCGATATCGGCAAGGAATTATCCCGTGGCAGGCCGCGCCAGACAGACGGTGCACTCTCGACATCCTCATGTCAAGCACTGACGCTTAATCTATACGCATCTGAGGAGCAACAACCGTAGCCACGATCCATTGATTCGGAAAGCCAGTATCGCTGCCGCTAGTCTGCGCCCATTGCAGTCTTCCCCCACAGCTGCTTTATCATTCTTCACCACCCCGAATGTCTATTCAGTGCATACATTCACATCACCACTGCCAAGTTGGAGACACCATACTTGTAAACCCTTCTCCTCAGCCGGTCATCCATCTTTGACACCGCGTGAACCAGCAGAAATGCAGACGTTGCTAATGTACCGTATGTTATGCCTTTCTCCTTTCCCGAATGCAGCCGTGCGGGCAGTCGTTAGTATCGCGCACACGCTAAAAGTAGCGCTTATGGAGCTAAAGGACTAGGCCTGACCTTAGCCGAGTCGACCGCTAAGCAGCGTAGACCCTTGGAAAGATAGCTTAATTCATATTAAAGCGTTGTATACTTGGTCTCTCTGCTATATAGCATCCTCGCGACCTACTTGGGGTCATTGAGGCGAGCATCGCTATATTTCATTTGTCCACTCGATGTCACCGTACAGTACCATCTTTCTGGTGGGCGGGGGTATCACTTAGTCCATATCGGCAAAGGCCATGATCTGCTGTCCTCCCTTGGCTCCCTTGCCCTTCTTGCGCTTCTTGTGCTGCACCGCGCGGGGTCTCTCTTCCTCGCTATCATCGCCGGATCCCGCATCACTGTCAACGTCGTCATCATCATCGCTATCATCACTGTCGCCGTACATGCGCTTGTCGCCCAGGTGGGATCCATTCGCGCCGCTGGACCCGACCGCCTCATGCCAGACCTTGACGACCTGACCGCCACCACTGACCATGCGCCCCTCGACGTCGAATCCCAAGCCGATCACGCCTTCCGTCTCGTCGTGCACGACCTCCGAGATGACCTTGTTGTTGCCGATCCGGACGAACTTGACCGCACCGCCACCCATACCCACGGCGACCATCTTTCCCTTGCCAAGCTCCTCCGGCACGACCGTCAGCGTCTCCAGCGAGTCGGCGCCACCGGTGCGGGGCTGGACGTAGATGCGCTCGTCCTGGTCGTCCCAGGCACCCTTCTCCCACAGCGTCAGCACGCCGTTGGAGCCACCCACCACCACTTTCTCGCCGCGGCTCGTCCCGCTTGTGGCCAGCCCGCCGATGTACACCGAGCTGATCAGCTCCTCCTCCTGATCCTCACTGCGCACGAGCACGCCCCGACGGAGATCCGTCACGGCCAGCGTCGTGCCACCCGTGGTCACCCATTGCTTGCTGAACCCAGAGGTACTGGTATCGGACGCGGGGAGCGGGGTGACCGAGGAAACGTAGTCGTCGTGGGGGTGGTGCGTTTGTTGCGGCTTGGCGGAGACCTTGGAGAACGGGGTGCGGAGGTCGTAGAGATGAAGGGCGCTGGAGTCGGTGGCAAGGAGGAGGGTTTGAGGCGAAAGAGCGTTCACAATGGTGGGGGCGTCGACGGATCTGAATAGTGGCCCCAAAGCCTTGCGTTAGCAATTGCGCTGACAATTGAGCATCAATTGACCTCATGAGACACATGATGCCCCAATTGGGACGTGAAGAAGATCACCTACCCATCCTTTAACGTGGGGATCGCGATCTTGTTCGTCACCATCCCGGTCTCCGCCTTCGCGGCCTTGACCAACCCATCCGTGCCAGCGGAGTACAGGGTCTCGCCGTCCAGCGCGAAAGTCAAGCACCGGCAGCTGCCCTTGTGTCGTCTCGTGCTCCACATGGTGTCGATGTGGCCCTTGCCGTTGCGGGACGAAGACGTCGAGGCCCCGTCATCATCGCTGTCCGCCTCCTCAGAGGGGAGTCGGTAGGTCTGGACATGGCCCGTAGCAAGACCAACGGAGACGATGGGTTCGTTTGGGTGGATGGCCTGCGAGAACAGATCTGCCGACAGCGGCAAGGTACAGACCGTGTCGAACATTTTGTGTGTGGACGGGTCGGCAATTGAGGCAATGGACCTGAATTATCCCACTCGTATAGACTTTCCTCTATGACCTTTTTTCAAAAGAGCTACCTCCCAAGTAGATTTGTCTCTGGTGCCGGCCGCAAGCTCCGACTTTTGATGGGGGCGGGCCGACCGATCTTCCGGTCAATCTTCCGGTAGCTTGACAGCTGATAAGCCGCTTATCGCCGCTGCCGTGTGAATGCGGGCGCATTGGCACGGGACTAGACGCTGGGTATCGAGACAGCTTCTTGCTTCTGGGTACGAGGATTCACTTCTAGTCCACTCTGACTTCAGAGCAACGCTCCATAGGAGCTAACAGGTTGAGTTGACATTTACGAACTCCAAGAGACTAGCAGCTCAGGCTCCAATGGGTGAAGAGCTCTACGGATTTAATTGCTTCTGATAGTGCCGACTGACCGGTCAGTCTACGCCATTGTCTCCAGTCCACACTTCTAATCCAGTATGACCCAGCCCTCAACAGTACAGAGAATATTACAAATTTGAGTCAAGTAGACAAGTTTAATCAGAATTTGGGCTCTGTTCTGAGTGTTCATGTCATCCTGTCTCTTCCATGCATAATCCCTCTGAATTCTTCTCGCACATATCAAAATAATAGTCATTTCGAAAGCAGGCTATTGCGAGTTGTCGTGACAGGATGCGGACTATGATGATCCTATGAGCAAGGTTCCTGCCCGAAATCCTCCTGCTACACGCTATACTTCGATTTGGCCTTAGTCTTTTACCCTGGATAATTCTTTTTCCTTTTATGTATATACAGAATCCAAGAGAAGATCAAATTCAGAAAAGTCACGGAAGAACAATGAGCAGAAACGAACGGAGAAACCGCAAAGGAGATGTAAAAGTAGCCATGTACTGGGCGACATTCTCGTTGGCCAGGGTAGGACTGTTTTGCCTCACATCAGGAGCCGGCCCGATGTGTTCGCCGCTGAGCTCACTCGACACTCGACTCGAGGTCCGGCATCTAAGCGCTGAAGGTCGAGTTGATCGGGCCGAACTTGATGTTGGAGAAGGTGACGGAAGCGTCGGGGTGCGCCGCCTCAACCGTCTTGGGGTCACCCTCGCCGGTCTCGCAAGTGCCGCGGGCAACACCGGGGTCGGTCACCGTCGCGTTGGTGGGGTAGTGGCTATCCAGCCACTCCATGCTGGAGTAGGAGTCGTCCCACAAGCTCATGATGAGGACCATGGACGAGAGGGCGTCGCCCATCTTGGTGAGTCCACCGTGGTCGCCGAAAATGTCCTCGTCTCCAAAGGCCGTCTTTTGAGCCGTGCAGAAGTCGGAGGTGATCGAGTTGCCGGAGACGCCGCTGATGTCGGACGCGGCGTTGGCAATCACGTTGCCGTTCTGCACGTAGTAGCGGCGGATCTCGGACAGGGAGCCCGAGCTGCCCTTGATGAACTGGGTGACGACCGTCATCTTCGAGTTGGAATCGACGGTCTGCCCGGGGCCGAAGAAGGTCTCGTTGCCCATACGGTAGGTGTTGAAGTCGCACCCGTCGGGGTCGCAGGTGCCCGCGTAACGGCTGGAGGAGTAGGTTCCGCCGCAGGCGTCGCCCTCGCACATTACCTGGGTGGCTGAGTCGCAGGGGTGCGGAGTGAATGCAGTTGAAATCTTGTTCGCTTCCCAGATGTCCATCTCCGGGCAGCAGGAGCCGTGGTTGCCGACCCCGGAGTTGGAGTTGCTGGTTGAGGGGGTCCAACCTTCCACATTTGCCTGGTTTCATCTAACGTCAGCCTGGTTTGAGGCGGTAGCCCAGTGGGTAACTGATACTGACCTGTCCGTCAATGAACTTCAGATCCCGCGGGCACTGGGAATCGCAGTATCCTGTTCCATATTTGGCACCGGCTTTGTTGGTCGGGAATCGGGACACTCCACCGTCGGCGTCCATGGCGGTGAAGTACAAGGCTCCGTTTAGTCCACAGGGGAGATTGGACACGTCGACATCGAAGGTAAACTCGGCGTCCAAGAGGTCGAATGTCTGGTACTTCTCATCGCTGGTGTCCATGAGGTAGAGACGCGAGCCGACATTGGACCCGGTGACGAACTTAAGCGTCAATGTATCACCGCTGGTGGTGACTCCATAGGTGCCTTCATAGTCGGCGCCATCCAGAGCACAGTTCGAAGCACAGGTCTCATCATCGGGACACAAAGTGGCATCCCACTGCGGAGCGTGTCAGTCAATTGCTGTAACAGAGCTAGTGCTTTCACACGACTTACAGTGTTCCCAGTGTAGCAGTTTGTGTAGCCTTCCACAGAGTGAACCCAGCGCCAATTGGAATCAATGACCACGGAAGCACTCTGCTCTGTGCAGCTGCCAGCAGCAGTACACTTCTGCCAGGTCAAAGCAGGATGAGTCTCCGCAGTCGAGGTTCCGGCCTGTTGAGCGCGAGCTGCGCTCCAGAGCGCAGAGAAGAGCAAGGCGCGTTGATACATTGTTCTCGGATACTTCGCTTAGTCGATTGTTGGTTGTGTTTGATTGTCTGTCCTGCAGAGATGTTGAACTGACTCGACTGGGAATTTCTTGCCTTTTATACCTCTGTTGGTCGCTGGAAGCCATCATCCTTGAATAGTGCTAAAGGCCAAAACTGTCTCGCAACGGTACAACGGACCGCTATACCGTCGAGAGAATGTTTCGGAATATAGTTGCTTTCCTATTTCGTGCAGCAAGAACTACCTCCGTCTCATAGAAAGGCAGTGAGCGCCTCGCCATGTCCGGAAAGTGGATCCAAAGGCGGCAAGTACCGTGTGTTGTTGAATTCAATTGACTTAGACCTGGCCTTCTTGATCCACAGGGTTTCAAGATTGCAATGCCGGAGATTACTCCGAGCTATTTCAGTCACCTGCAATGTCCTGGTTCTGCGAGTTCGATCCTGCTATACAAGCTGGCTAGCTGTTCATGCCGCATCGGATGCGGAGTTTTAGGCCAGAAGGATTGATACCATGATTCTTCGTCTCTGGAGCGGGCTTAGTCTCAGGTTGGTTTCACTTTGAAAACAGCACTCTACTGAAAGAAGCGATCGTTTGTTTTCCTCGTGAAACGAAAGTAGAAAGCTTCAGTCCGAGGTTAGTTGTAAAAAGCTCAATAGCAAGGCTATGGGTCGAATTAACTGTCTCAACTGTATTCTGAGTGTTACCAAAGTGATTGGATTGATGTTCGATTAATCATTATACGAACGGCGATGTGGCAGATGTGGCGTTGGTTGGGCGTCGACCGGTCCCTCCTGCATCGATGACCCTAATCAATTAATTCATTATGTTCAGTATTCACTTTGACCTTGTCGATCGTCGGAATGCGGAGAACTGAGATTCCATCAATGACCTCGACCTTTGGCTTGGGCATAGCATCCTTGTTGCAGGTGGCTGAGCGGGGGGCGCCTTTGGCTCCGATCAAAGCCGATAGGAGCATCGATTCTGATTGGACACTTTCTCATTCCACCTCATCTCACTTAATTCGCATCAAAGCTTCTCCACAGTAGACTAGAGGGGCGGCCGCGGGTTGGCATCAGACACTTTGATGTTTCATGGCGGTGTGATGCATCGCCCGATGTCGGAGAACCAGCAGACAACAACTTGTTTCTGTAGCCGCTTTCATCCCTTCATTTCCTGATCTTGTTGAAGCTCATTTTGACAGCGGCTAATGTGGGGATGGTTCCGAGGCAGAGGCACATATTTTTCTCGGTATATCAAGCCAAATAGTAGGGAGCCGGCATAAGCCATGGCGCTGTACCTTGCAGATCGCTTCCCGGTTATGGCTAGAAGCCGTCCAACGGCTGTCCAGTTTAAGTGGGTAGTCATCTCCATTTAGCCGGGAATGCCCTTTTCAGGAGTACACGGAGGTAATCTCCGCGTTTTTGTCGAGACGGGGGTTCAAAGGTTTGTTGAGGCTGCTGCTGACTGGTCTTATTCTCTATGGAGAGCGCTTCTTCGGCAATGTCTTTGTTGCCTGTTGCTGTGCATGTTGCCAAGCTGGTGTACATCCTCATGCACAGAGCCCTCGGATCTCATGACTTTTGAGCCTTGGCAAATTGGTTTTACCCACGCGCATGGACAGGAAGAAGGCCTTGGCGAACGTTGATACCTCACATGTTGACTAGGATGGTGTACCCTCATGGTACTGTGCATGGGTATTGTCGGTCCGGGTATCCTCCACATGATTTTCTTCTTTCCTGGGTCATGATTGCCTGGAGTGATTTGATGATTTATCGGCATTGAGCCATCCCTGTCGTCCGATTCAGCCTCTAGATGGTCCTTGGCTAGGGTACCTATGCTTCGGTCTGGGGATATATTATATCGATCATGAGTGGGTCGACAGATACTAACGAGAAGATGTCTCACATGACAACTTCCAGGTAAGAACAAAGACCACTGTTTCTTCTTCTCAACATAGCTTGATTGAGTATTCCGTAGAGATTTGTCTGCTCTAATGACTATGAAGAGACATTGACTGCTGTTTGATGCCTGTGGAAGGGAAGAAGCCTCGGCTGTGGATGGCACATGACTTGGCTTATCTCTTATCGGAGTCCCGGTGACAAAATCCTTTGGCCCGAAGAGGAATAGTCGGTCCAAGGCCAACAAGTGGTTGACATCCTTGCCCGTGATGTCTGCCAACTTCTTACCTTCTTGTTCTTGCTCGGTTTCCATTCTATTCAGTCTGCATTTCTTTTTCCACTTTTAGCCATCTCTTGCATTCTTCTTTCTTGTAGTTTTGGATTATATTATAGACATCATTCATAGACAAGAGACATGGCTTGGTACAATCAGACCGTCGACTCACTCTCCGATTTCTTGGCAAGCCACCGCAGCCAACTTCCCCTCCTGGCCGCGACAGGGGCCTCGTTGACTGCGGCTTTTATTCTGCGCTCGTTTCTATCGGACTCTCAGCCGGAGGGGAATGTCTATCGTTCCCCTCTGGACAAGGTTAAGGCCTTGTCGGATGCGGAAAACCGCGAACTTCCTCTGCCTATCGACGTTCTTCCCGGGGCCCGGGATGTTCCCACCAGCTTTGGTGGCTCAATGCGTGTATATGAGTGGGGCCCGGAGGAAGGCCCCAGGGTCCTTCTGATCCACGGCATTACGACCCCTTGTATTGCATTAGGCGGGTTGGCCCATGCCCTGGTCGATCGAGGGTGCCGTGTAATGCTTTTCGATCTGTAGGTGAACTGCCGAACGGCGCCACAATAAGGATTACTAACAGGCGCCTCTAGTTTCGGAAGAGGCTATTCCGATTGTCCCTCAGATCTGCCACAGGATGGCACATTGTGGAATCGGCAGATTTGGTCTGCCATCAACTCGTCGCCTATCTTCAAGAAGCCTGGGGATCTCTGCCTGGTCGGCTACTCACTCGGCGGCGGTATCGCGGCGAATTTTGCGGCTTTCCATCCTCAGGCTATTTCCTCGCTGGTTCTCCTTGCGCCTGCTGGTTTGATTCGTGATTCTCGGATCAGCTTCCAATCCCAGCTGCTCTACTCGCACGACTGGATACCAGAGAAACTACTGAAGTTCTTCGTCCGCCGTCGCCTACGCGCAGGTCCGTTGACATCCAAGCCTGCGAACAAGAAGCTCAGCGCAGAAGATGCGTTGGTCGAAGAACTTCCCGATCAGGGTGCGACGGAGGTACAGCGATTGTCTCGGGCTTACCCACATGTGAATGTCCCTAGCACAGTCAAGTGGCAGGTGGATGAGCATCCCGGTTTTGTGCATGCCTTCATGTCCAGCATGCGTTTTGGGCCCATTCTGCAGCAGCGCCAACTGAAAGTATGGAAGCAGCTGGGAGACTGGCTTGCCGCGGGGAAGAAGGCCGGCTCGGATGCAATTCCCGGTCTTCCTCATGACAAGGTTCTCATCATGTATGGTGAGCACGACGCAGTCATTGTGAAAGACGATCTCGTGCCCGATGCCACTGCAGCACTACAAGGCCTCGCGAGCTTTAAGTCATACGATGCGGGTCATGAGTTTCCAAGCACAAAGTACGATGATGTGGCTCAATACATGATGGAATTTCTGCAGCTCAATGCTTCGACAAATGAAAATATCTGAAGGGAATGGCCCTATTATGATGACCCCGACATGTCTCTCTCATCTTCCCGATATATGCTGTTCTGCAGCGCCCTGCCATGAACAAGATCTCTAATAGACTCTGTACATAGACAATCCTTCCTGCTATTCATACATGCTCACGTTTCAAATATTCGCATAATACTGTGACCTGCGATCAAGCATCTCTATCGTTTCCCCAGAACCTTTTCTGTCGCTTCGAGCTGGCTCGAGAGCCGTGACGCGTGCTCGGAGCGATCATGCATTCGTGCTCGCGCAAAGTATGGCTCGTCCGCTGCTGGGGACTGCGTGAAGCGCTCCACTATACCTCCGCTGGTGCCATCCGGAATGCGGCTCAGATTCTCAGCGCTGAGACTGTTGCTGACTCCGTTGCCAGTTCTATTGACAGCTGTCAGCATGGGCAGAGCAACAAGAGTGACATGAATGACTAACTTTTGTGTTTGCTTGTTTTCGGAAGACATTGCTGATTGCCTGTTATAGGGTTGATCTCGGCGGTGACAGATGTGAGATATAGAAGGTCGCAGCTTAAGGGTATCTTGGAATAGTTTGCAGGTACTCAAGGCGAGGCAAGTCGTTCAGTCAATGAACTGTGATGTGTGGATATAAGTGTTGTGGTAGAGGTAGGTTTGTGGGGTTTGCTGATGCTGATGATATCAAGCAAGGACGGTCGAAATCTGCCTTTATATACCCAACGAGACTACCAAGCATCAAGCTTTACTGACGCTGACGAGTGAAACAGAGAATGTGAAACAAAAATAGACCAGGATGACTTTGGCGCAAGCTGGGATACAACGGCCCGGGACCGAAAGTGGTGAGATTACAGCCACAAAAACGTGTGAAGATGGAAAGAGGAGGCCTTGCGCAACGTAACTTGTGTGACATAGGAAGATAGAGATCTTCGGTTCGTCTCTCGCAAGCGACTTGTGATTTCACCACGAGCAAGGCAAACCGGTTTTGAACGGCCTGGGAGTTCAAGGAAGGACCCGGAGTTACCGTTTGTGTCCCTCCCTATGTGCCACGAATGGTAGCTAAAGTTTTCGATCGAGATCTGTCGAGCTGCTGCGTCCAACTAGACGATAGTAAAACAAGGAGAGCTCGGGTTGTCCCCAGCGTCTAGGGAAATGATTACCGAGTCAGCTTAGGGAGGATAGACGCATGAGTCGGATTCTGCATGGTTGAGCTCGATAGGCGTACTCCGGGGAACCTATGAACGATCGTCAGCATGGCGCACATCGGGCACATGAACCGAATGAGGGAGTAACTGATCATTCAGCATGCATACTCAGATGCTATGCTGGTCATGACGGCCAGTCAACAGCGCTTGTTATTGGCTGTCCAAGGCATCCGGGCAGGGGGTCGGAAGGGCTGAAACCTCGACATGCGATTCTCGCACTCCGCTTGAGAGGGTTGTGTCATGAATCTAGGCCTTGTGGAGCCAGGGACCGCCCCGTACTGACGCAGATGCCATCAATGTCATGGTCTCGAGCGCAATCTGAGACCAGGGATCACACGACTTACACCGAAGTGAAAAGGGATCAGGGATTGAGATCTCTGCGAATCGGCTGTGACCCACCGATCTGGTCAAAACGGGGTCGATCCCATCAGAGTAATCACGCACTGCCCCAGGGGATGGCAGCGTCAGTGCTTTTCGCCCTGGCTCTCTCACGCTGCTGCACCTCCCACCTTACTCCTACCTTGTTTTCGGCCTTAACCTTATTCAGCCACGATTAGCTACGTCGTAAGCTAACGGCCCCTGTGCCTCCGACAGAATAACGGTATCATTGCATTGGCGACAACGTATGTACGTACGTACATTTGGCACGACCTGGCAGATGACAATGACTCAGGGTGCAGGCGTAGCTAAACGACATTCTACCACAATGCCTATAGGTTAGAGAAAGTCGACGAGTATGGCTACTCTCAGCTTTGCCCTCTCTTCGGTCGGCTGAAAATTCGGAACTATCTGTCTTTTGGCTTGGCTACTGATCACCTTTGATCTTGTCGATTTTTTTCTGCATTCCTCCTTGTGAGGGAATCCAGTTATGCTGACATCACGACCCTGGCTAAGCGTTGCTCCTGAAATTTTACGATTGATTGTGTGCTGCGCCGGAATGGGAGTCTTCAAAGCTAAGCCTCGTTCTACCCTAGCTTGCTGCCGCCGGACAGTGCGTGTACGCCTCAAAGTACGGCTGTTCATTCCAGTCTGGTGGTCAAAAAGGGGATTTCTACGACGGGATCACGCGAGAAATGTGCTGAGGTGGACCGCCAAAAAAGCAATTGGCAGTTCTATAATTGGCTGCAAATCCCGGTGCCCGATATGACTACAGCAAATACAGCAAATAATGGCGAACTATGGATTTCTCACGAGCTGAACCCTGCACCAATGGACAGAGCACATTGTACCTTATTGGTGAACGGCAGCGATCCTGGCTGCCTCCTGAGCATGGGGTTACCACAACGTTGGGTTCGCGTCGCAAAGGCGTTATTTATGCTAGTGCACAGCACAAAATTGGATAAACTCAGGGCTTTCGGGTACGGGAGCCGAAAGGGGCTTGCAACAGGCTTTTTTCCACCACTAACTTCCTCCGGGTGGTTTTCTTTTGTGTTTATCTCTCACCCCCCTGAATACGCTCGCTCCGGTTACGGTCACCCCTTGCTGCTTTTTCCGCGGGCAGGTGTCGGAATCAATAGTCTCCGTGCTCTGCGAGAAACATAACGCGGGGATATGGACTATCTCGGACGCAGCTCCGAGAGATTGATCGATGCATTGCTTGCCCTTGAAGCGGGTTGCTATCCTCAACCCGAAACTAAACAAGCTCATGGTCTTTGTTACCAAGTTCGACGATTCCCCTGCCTAGAGAGAATTGGACGCAGACAATACCCCTGTGCTGCCTGTCTTACAAGGCCATTACCGTACGCCTTGTCTGTTTAATCGAGCTTAGTATCTGCGTCGAGACGATTGCTTTCCCTTGCAAGGCATGCTTGGCCTAAGCTCTGGCAACCTTATCTCTCTTAGCGATGATCCACCAACATCATAATCAACTGGTCTGAGCTTTCCTTGGCAGGAATCTGGCGGTCCCCACTAGCCTAACTAAACCTTGAATTCATGTGTGTTGTTCACTCGGTGAGATTGAGAGATCATACCAGCTACTATCTGCTGTGAGGGTGATCGAGGGAAGCTTGAGGATTCTACGATTAGTCAAAGCCAGCTGAAGACTTCAAAAAATGGTCTGCGAGCTTGGCGATGCTACAAATCACTCGGATCACCTCGCGTGTACGGAACCACGCTGCCATGTTACGAACCGAGCCGGAGAATGGCAGCTGCCGTGCCGAAAGCAACATATGGACCTTCAACGGTAAGGAGCGACTGCTCGCCAGGGGCTGGATTCATCGCATGGCTCTTGGAGTTGAGAACGCAATCTTCAGTCAACTCAATTTAGCACACATCACACCAACTCTGGCGCTTGTCGGCTCTAGGACCGCGCCTCGTCGATCTTGTCCCAATGAGAGCGTATGAAACGGCGTAACCGGACTTCGGGAGGATGATTATTTCTCCTGCATTTCTCTCCCATTGACTACCTATGCATCGCGCTTTTGCTTTTTTAAATCCGCAAAAAGCATTCCACCCTGGGCTCTTCCGTTCCTTTTTCACGCGGCCCCTTTCAACCGCCACCAAATGAGCATGACAAGTAGTCGTCACTCCCGCCTACATGCGCAGCAGGGTAGATGAAACAGCCGCGCAAAGGTCTATACGTCAACCGACAGGGACGAGATGACGCCAACACTGATGAGTTCTTTCAGTGCATGCAGGTCTAAGACGGCTGCTCGTGATTCTTTGTACGGAGTACTCCGTACCTCATTTTTGTTGCTGCCTGTCCGCCCTTTGCATCTTCTCCTTTTCCCGTCAGGCATGCACCCACGGCCTACACTTTAGGCAATGATTTACCTCCCTTTTTCTGAGCCTACAAACAGGTCTAATTTGTAGGAGGAAATAATAGGTTTATTTCCCGAGGCCGCGCCCCCTTCAACCTCCGAGTGTCCGACTAGCCACCAGCACCCCCCTTAATGAACAAGGTTCTCAAGAAGCGAAGAATGAGTACTCAGCCTCTGCTAAAGTTGGGGAGGCTTAGACACGTTACACAGACATCTCCAAGCGAAGAGGTCCGACTTCCGATATACGTCGACTTCGTATCGGTTCCTGTTTAAAGAATGTGGAATACGTGATGACTCGCGGGTTCATCCGGCTGAGAATTGATTAGCACTGATCACCGTTCACCAGCCATCCCTGGACCCTTAAATGGTTCGAGACAACTCTCAAGTGGAGCTAACAGTCTTGAATACGCACATAAATCCTCACGACATTCTATGAACGGCGGGGCTTGCCTTTTAGTGCATCACATCTGCTTATCCACGAGCGCGAAACACTTTCGCTTCTTCTTACTGTCTTTGGAGGGAGCCACAATGGACGAATGCGCTGATGCCTGACCCTTGAAGGCTATGAAAAATGTCTTGTCAGCCCGACATACCTGGTCATTGTTCGCTAGGCCCAGAGATACAACCCCAAGAGTGGACCTCGATGGCGCTACGCTAGCGCATGTCTCAGCTGTCAGCACGCGTACGCCATATCAGAACCATTGGGTCCATAGAAAGCATTGCGAGCATGCAACACGGGAACATCCATGCAAATGCAATGCAGCAGGAATGCGCTCTCTCGACCGAATGCCACTCCAACATGATGGAGCGCATTGTGATTCTGGGCCGGTGCGTGATGCGGTCTGCAGAAACCCATGGTACGATGGGTAGCATGTGCTGGACATCTGGTGGAGAAATGCAATTGATGACATTGATGTGATATCTGCAGGCTTCCGATGCTGTCAGCGACTCAAAATGCGCAGTAGGCTCGTCTGATGAGCCAGTGGGTCTCGAGTGCAGCATGGCTGGCTCAACCCCACGCTTCTCGTGTGAGATACCCAAGAATGCGATAACGGCTTTTGCCGTCCCATCAGGTGTTCCTGATCGTGGAGACGCATGAGATAAGGCATGGGCTCTCACCTGATCGTTTCGACATTTCAAGGCGCGTGATCCATGTTCGCGGGTGGTTTCAAGCAAGCTGCAAGCCAAGGCAGGAGTTTCATTTGTCATGCAGAGACAAGCATGCATCCAGTTGTCGAAGTTCACTCGATTGAGGAAACTTAGCCTGATTTCAGGGTAACAAGGCTGTCAACGTCCGCACGTCCACGACTTCGGCATTTGACTATTGAGAAAATTTTACACTGCGACGCAAAGAAGCCTATCGTGACTCAAACCACACGCGTAGATCCCTATCCTTGCCCCACATCTGAATCATAAATCTAGAATGCCTGTGCCCACATGGTCGGAGCCGACGAGCAACACCTTACTAGAAGGATACGGTCACAAGGGTGGGGCCTGTAAAACGATGCAAGGCAACTGATAAGGCAACGGGAGGGTTGGCGTAGCTCCTGTCCTTCCCAGCACAGACCAGAGACCGTCTGACTCGATTGCAGAGCTTCGCTCGAAACCAAGAAGGAGCTTGCCCCTCAGAGCTAGCTTTTCATTATGCCATGCATGTCGTCAATCGGCTATCCTCGGATATAGGCCTGAAGGCTGGAAATGGGTGCATGCAATCGACCCAACGCACCCCTCCAGCAACAGGTTTATCTTGCAGAATCCGGGCTGTGGATGCATGCAGCCCGTTCCTGATCCCATGGATATCCGCTGCATACTGCAGATGCATGCAGAATTGCAATTCTGGATGGTCGACAACTAAAGCAAGGCACTGTCGCTAGACGTCGATGCTCTGCAGATCGCTCCAGTTATCGGGCTGGATCTAATCACTGCTTTTGAGGGACTTCTCGCCCAAGCCGGAGCTGTATATGAGAGGTTGTGTGGGATGGCAGAGCACCGTGCATTAGTTCTACTATCTAGGTGAGTATTATGGTTGTTGTTGCGATGGAGGGGCGGTCTCGCTCGAGGCCGCGGGCTCTGGGCTCTGACGCTTGAAGTGGCAACGATTCAATGCAAGCATCGAGCACAAGAGTGTTATCGCAGAGTCTTTGAGACCTATCTGGTGCCCTTTCCAGATACCAAGTCGAGAGACACAAAATTTTCCTACGCAGTAGTCTCTCCGAGCTGGTTTGTATACCTGGAAGCTCGTGACACGGGGGATGCTGCTATCATTCATACCTTTGTCTGATTGGCTGCTAAGGGGCATTTGAGAGAGCCGAAAGATAGCTATCGTAGTGAAGTGAGAGAGTAGGGCAAACAATGTGAAGAGTCGACAAGATCATGGATCGAGTACAGAGTCATGACTGGAGTTGATTGTTGTGGTTTTCGCTCAAAGTATACTTGGCATGGAAGCTAGTTTATGCCTTAGGCACCAAGCCCCATCACGTGGTGCCTAATCCTTGTTAGGGAAGATGGCCGTATATCCGCCTGTAAGTTTGACTTGACGTTATCGCAACACCCACCATCACTTTCGCTTCGATCTACACGAGGCTACATGTTTTCTGATTGTTGTGCAGATCAATAGACTTTAACCTCTTAGGGCAAGACCTTGCTCTATCTCATCATCGCCAGCATCTGCTGAACGGCCATGCGTCGACTCTGCGGGGTAAAACACCGTTGTTAGTCGATTGGGCGCTGAGTCCCGTCCCGTACGGCCTCTTGGTTTGGATGAACCATCAATACCTAGGTATACTTCCAGAACCTAAGTCCTAATACATCTTCGACCGAAGTATACAACTAGCTAACCCAGTTCCGTAGATCTAAAAAGCCAAAGCGCGCGATACATACCCACCAAGCATGGACCCCAAAGTGAAAACATCACCACCATCATCATCATCATCACTCAGCAGTATCCAGAAAGCCGTCTGGGACGGCAAACTGCCGCTGCAAATCACCCTGGCCCCGTCCGAAAGCCAGACCTTTGACCAGACGGACCCGTATCTTGTACTGCTCCTCCAGGGTTTTCTTACTGTCCGGGTCACGCTAATAAAAGGCCCAAACAGATCGCCCACCCGCGCCTCGCGTACCTCCCCTCTCTCCTGCCCCGACTGCGGGACTTCTTTGCATCGGCCCTCATCCACCCCACCTCCCGCCCGCATGAAGGCTGGTTCTCCTTCGAGGGCGTCCCCCTGAAATGGCACTACCCCGTCGGACTTCTGTATGACCTTTACGCGGGCGCCGACCCGGCCTCTAAGGGTGGTGGTGGTGGTGGTTCCCCCTCCGCCGCTGACGAAGACGCGGACCCCCTCCCCTGGCGGCTGACCGTGCATTTCAGCGACTGGCCCGACGAGGAGCTGGTGCGGCTCGACGCCGACGGGATGGTCATGCACGACGCGTTCATCAACAGCGTCAAGGAGGCGGATTTCCTGCGCAACGGCACGGCCAAGGGGATCATGGCGCTGTCGAAGGAGGATTCCGCGGGGCTGTGGACGGCGGTGAGAGATGGTATGCATGCCCCTATCTTCCCCCGAGTTCCTCTTGAGACAGTATGATTGCATTTGGTGTATGTATCTGGAAAGAACACACTAAGATGGAGAATTAGTGGACCTCCCCTCCTTCCAACGGATATCCAACATCCTCCTCCCGCCGCCCAACCAACCCTTCCGCAATGTCCCCGTCCGCTTCTTCCTGCCGTTGCCCCCGGACTCCGACTCCCCCTCGTTGAAGGTCGTCCAGTCGCCCATTCCGCCGGTGATCGCCCCGTCGTCGGCATCGTCCGCGGCCGCGTCGACGATGAGTATCGCCGCGAGTCAGTCGATGATGGCCGCCGCGCGGGCATCGCCGCAGATCCAGACGATCGGGTCGGCGCTGCATGCGCTGCTACCGAATCTGTTTCCCAGTCGCAGGACGCCCGTGCTGGCGAAGCCGGTGCTCCATGGGGCGGCGGTGCCGATGGCGGCGCCGGTGGAGGAGCTGGTGCGGTGTTCGGCGTATGGTGATGGGTGGGTTTATGTTGTGGTGCGGATGATGGGGTAGGTTTGGTGGGTTGAGGGGGAGGGGAAGGGCCAAGGGGCCAAGGGGCCAAGTGGGCGTCGGCGTCTCTGGGGAAATTTTGCTTTGCCCCTTCGGCTAGCGATGCTTTGGGAAAAGGCATGCAGATATCAAATGCTCTAACGAATTTGTCATTCTCATCAATAGCGTTGGAATCTTCCTGTTCGTCCTCGGTCGTTGTCAATCGATGAAGGTCCACTATACAGTACAGCTTGTCGGAGTCACGATCTTAGCGAGAGATCTCAAGGATCTGTTCATGAAAGATGTAAAAGTGTCGACGTAGGAACCTGTATGCGTAGTTGAACCCGGTGGCATTCGACTTTCGGTGCTGCACCGTTCACACGTGCTTTCAAGAGTATTAGCTACATACCCAAGCATCCAGACCAAGTTACTTCCTTCCACATCCTCGCCAACGGCTCATACCAGAGCTCCTCGTGTCTCTCCAAGACATCCCTCAATACCCCTAATTGAACCCGTACGCAGCGAACTCGGGGTTCATCCAACCCAACGGCATCTGCGTATTGAACAGCTGCCACATAAGCCAGTCGCTCGATGCGCTGTTTCCCGGATCCAGGATCCCTGAAGCCTCTTGGTTCATGCCGTGGGCCAAGAAGCCCTCTTGGGTAGAGGTATGACCTGTTTCCATGCCCCCATTCGTCGCGGCACGGGCCACTGCCGGCGTTGACGGTATGCGAACAGGTGAGATACCCGCAGCCACACCCTGTGATACAGCCTCATCCCCAGCATCGTTGGTCTGGAACAGCGGCTCGCACAGGCGTGCAAGCGACGTCAAGAGGTCGAGGAGTTTCTGGAGGTGCGGATCATGCTTGGACTGCGACAGGGTTTTGACGATGCTTTGCACCAGGTCGTAATCGGATCGGTCCAGGGAGCCGATGATGTTGCAGAAGAGAACGAAGAAGGGGCTCAATGGGTAGAACAGCAAGGTCCTTGTGCCTTTTGTATCAGTAACCGTACGCAATTTATCCATGTTTGTCGGTGTGGTACTGTACACACCATGTGAGAAACGACGGGTATGGGTCGTTGAAGCCTGGCATCTCGGCGTGGTGCTGCTGGAGATACTGGAAGGCTTCCAGCGATCGTCGCGCGCAAAGCAAGGTCTCCTTGTGGACCATCGGGCTGAAGGAGCACCGCAGTCGGGTCCGGTAGATCTCCACGAGCACGGCATAGTAGCAGAAATCGGCACCGATCCAGTCCAGCTCTATGGGTCTGTGGGTTGAGCTGCGGTTCTGCGAAGGTATACACCTGGTGTCAGTCGAATGTTGACGATGCGGGTTGTGGAAAGCCTTACGCCTTGCAAGTCTGGGAGGAGTCGTCGCATCCTGGTCTCGAGACTGTCGATGACTTCCATGATTTGTCGGTTTGATTTGCGCTTCTCGTGAGCGGGTATAGAGAGTAGTTCGCCTTGGATTTGAGCAATCTCAAGACAGGTCCGAAAGAGGGAGCCGTATGGTAGCGAGGAATCGAAGCCGACGAGATCTGTTGGAGGAACCAGAAGGTCCGGAAGGGAGGTGGGTCGGCCCATAAGGGAACTAAGTGACTTGTCGAGGAAAAAACACCACAGCAGCGCGTTGTGGATATCCTTCTGCACCGCGGAGGGTGAGGGGCTATCTTGAGTCCTGTGGTAGCCGAGCGCTGTGATTTGACGAGCGCAATACGAGTTGAGTATCCAACACTGGTTGACTCGACCCAGATGTTGCATCAGCAGGGCCTATATGCGAAGCACATTAACGATCTTGCGAGGCACCTTTGGCCTGCGCACACGACTCACGCTAGACAATAGAGCCTGTATGAAAAGAAGGCTTGGAGGAGCGAGGATGTCGAGTTTGTGAATGCTCTGCACTGCTGCAGCTATGTAGGTGGAGGCGGATTGGAAGAGCCGCCGTTTCAGCGTGGAGCTGCTAGTGCTTCTGGCCAAGTTGAAGAAGTGGAATATTGCCTTAACGTAAATGCAGACGCAGAGTCGGTGGAACACCTGGCCCTCGCAGTTCTCATCAAGTACTTCCGCAGCCATTCTTTCAAATGACTCTTCTGAGATATGGTCGGGCCACTGATAACCTTCCCTACTTGTTGACCCTGGAGATAGTCAGTTGATAATGGTGTACGATGAGACAGACTACAAGTACCAGGAAGCAGCATGAAGATCAGCTCTTGCGGCGGGGCCTCTGGGACCGCAATGCTGGGATCTACAGAGAACCCCTCTTCGGCAGATGTGCTTGATTCCACAGGCGCCGCATCCGCCATCTGACTGACTAGATCGAGCGCGGCCTTGAGAACAGACTGCTGTTCATGGCTGATATGTCGACAGTCATCGAGTACCACTTCAATGATACTTCTGGCTTGCACCGCATGATAGTTCGAGCTGTCGGTGCCAGCAGGCGAATTGAGGTCACCACGGGAGGTCTGGTCATGTTCGCCGGGCATGTCAGCTCGTGGCTGCTTGGAGGGTCTCTTTTCCTCCGATCTTGTCTCTAGGCTCGCTCCTAGGTTGATTTGTCTAGCCCTATTCACTGGTCAGCCGGCTGGAATGAGGGCAAGAGTCTGAGGAAGAGCTTGCACCCTTGAGGTTGAGTTACGGGTCTTTCCAGGCGAAGTATTGTTTCCGCTGGTCCAGTGGCACTAGGGAATAGTGACTTAGCGGTGACCGTGGTAGTAATTGTGGGCCACCGAGGTTGCGAACCTTGTGAAAGATCGTTTCCGCGATGTCCTTCCGCGACGAAGACGCTGGCACTCGACACCGACGTCTACGCAGTTCGAGCAGTTTCTCTGTCTATTACATCTAATCTGCCGGCTGTGTGAGTACACATTGGATGGTTAGGTATGTAGTGCCAGACCAAACCTTTTTAGAATGGCATAGATCGCACTAAGACATTGCGTCAGCCCAAAGGTCTAGACCGATGCGTGAGGAAATGGGGCCAGGAAGTAGGGGGGAGCGCAGAAAACATACTGCGGGCAGTATATCATCGAAGACTGCAAAGCTCTGTGACATTGCGATTCATATTCCATCGCCCATATAAGGCCGATTGGATTGATGAGAGTGGTTGTAGAAGATGAAAAGAAGCAACTCGGAACTTGGAAGCCGCGCGAATTGGGCGGAATGGGAGAAACCTTTGCGCGGCCGACCAATGACAAAAAAGTATTATAGAAGGTCATGCCTTATTTTATTCATATTTAATAACAAATGTTTTTTACGCTGATCATGGATGTAATATATGAAAGGGATCATATTAATTACATAGCTAATGTTCTATATGAGCATTGAGAAGAGTTTAGGTTCAGTACGTACAGTACAACTTGGAAGAGGAGTCGACCCAGTCAGTGATCCCCCAGTGATCCCATCCCCTAATAGCCCAGGCGATTAACTAACCTGCCTACCTACAGTACCAAATCACCCCCTCCTTCTCCAACTGCCTCACCAACTCTTTAGGGAGTTTTGTCCACTGGCAATACCTACAATCGCCCGATCAAAATCAAGGGATAAGAAAAACCAAAAGCAAGAAAGAAAAGAAAAGAAAAAGAAAAAAAAATAATCTCTCCTACTTCCCCCCTCCCACCGCAGTTTTGCGTATCATAAATATGACCCCCATGCGACCTACAACCCTCAACATCTCGGACCGACCCGACCACTCCTCGTCGTTCCAGAGCAGTAACTTCCCCTCCTCCTCATCCCATGCCCGCTGGCTCGCCCTCACGCACCGCGCCCCTTCCTCGCACTCCGCCTTCATCTACGGCGTCAAGTCCACCAGGATCTACTGCCGCCCGACCTGCGCCGCGCGGCTGGCGCGGCGAGCCAACGTCGAGTTCTTCGACACGGCCGAGCAGGCGCGGGCCGCCGGCTTCCGGCCGTGCAAGCGCTGCCAGCCGGACTGCGCGAGCTTCGTCGGGGAGAGGGAGGGCCTCGTGGCGCGGGTCATCGCGCTCCTGCGCGTGCAACCCGGGGGTCTTTCCTCCCCCTCCTCCGGCCCCCCGCACATGAGGCTCCGCCTGAAGGATCTGGCGCAGGAGGCCGGGGTGACGCCTAGCTATCTGTGCCGCGTGTTTAAAAGGACGATGGGTGTCACGATCGGGACGTATATGGCGGAGTTTGAAAAGGAGGGCTGCGGCGCCGAGGGAGAGGGAGAGGGAGAGGAAGAGGTGGCAGTTGCGCTGCCGGCCGTCGGGTCGGATCAGATGAACGCAGGAGCAGAGCATGCTATGTCGACGATGATACAGAGCGAAGGACTAACGGAGATGGAAGGAGAAGGAGGAGGAGGAGGAGGAGGAAGAAGAGGAGGAGCAACACTCTCGACTCCCACGGAATGCTCATGGAACTTCTTGCCAGAGGAGAATTTGCACGGAGTCGATCCCACCCTTCCGACCTTCGATCTTGAAGAATGGTTTGCCTCTGCGGCGTTTTTGAATTCGAACCTCTTTTTAGATGATAGCGTTCTCGTATAGGGGCCTGGATGATACAGTCTACAGGTAGTGGTCAGGTCGCAGCATAGCCGAGAATCTACCATCCGCTCAGAAATGAACCAGACTTACCTAGATTGCTCACTGCGATGCAAAACAGTAAAAAAAGGCCATGGTCCATGCCAGAGTGAATCTGTGCCATATCGGAGAGCTCACAGGCGAGGAACAGACCCTGTGCTTTGCCTGCAGTTGCTCGATGATACATAGCGAATAGAGATGTCGACAAGTCAGGCAGGGCTTTCATTCGATCGACAGAAATCTTAACAACGATTTTGAAGATTTAAAGGTAGGCTGCTGGAACAAGTTCTTGATTATCTTGGAGGTTGCAACTATTTGCGTCCCCGCATGTAAACAAGATGAAAAGGCCTTTGGAGTCATGTGGCCGGATTATTTAGCAACGCTGACAAATTTCAAATGTCGAAGGTTGTACAGTACTAAACAACGAAGACATTGCTACCTACTACTTCAGCCATTGATGTATGATACATGGTCCACCATTCCCAGCACACTCTTAACTACTGAATACTATGCAAATGGGCGAGCTCTACAACAACCTTCAGGTGTCTCTCTGTTGGGTCCCATGCTCTGATATGTACCAGCCCGCCCTTTATCAGTCGCAGGTGATCTTCTTCAGGATCACCAGCATCGCCTTATCACCACGGCCCTTGACTTAGTCGATCAGCTCCCGGAAGACCACAGCCACCTGGCCCTCGGCGGCCAACGCTTCAACCACCTCCACCGCAAGGATCCGAGCCGTGAGATCGCCACGGATCAGGTTGCGGTAGACTCCGGTCTTCCTGGCCATGGCGAGCATGGCAGGCGAGAAGTCAATCCCATCGATGGCGGCGATGGAGGATATGGAGGAGGAGGCGGCGCCCCCCGCTGTCGCAAGAGCCTGTCCCACCAGCCCGGTGCCGCAGCCGGCGTCCAGCACCACCGGCCGGGTGATGGCGCTCTTGGACAATCGCATCACCGCCTGGGCCACAAGCCTCGGGGCGACATAGGCTTGCGCTTCGTCCCCAACCTCCTCAAGTAGGTGGCCGCTTTTTTATCGTAAATCTCCATGCATTGGACCACACTGAGACAGTCGCGGGCTTCGCGCAGATAAGACTTGCGCAGTTCAACCTCAGTCGCCGACATTTTGTTCTTCGTTGAAGGGGGGGGTCTGCGTTTTGTGATGTGTAGTCTTGGAGCACGGCCTTTCACGAGTGTCTCGGGAGAGAATTTGGGGATTTGAGAAAGAGCATCAGAAAGACACTTGATGAAAATCGGCAATTCGTGTGTCTGGTATGATTGAATGAGCTGGGATGCCGAGGAAGGGATGTTTGTTTGATTCCAACAAGATGAGGGCATTTTTCAAATGCATTGATACTCCCCGAAATTACATCGCGTACACTGTCCATATCCTTCCGAGCCCGTAGACTCTACGCAGCACTTTCGCGGTACTGATTCATTCGGAGGAAGCTTGTCAAGTGCGCACTGTACGAACCCCGGTTATCTCACGTCCTGCCGAGCCCCTGTTCCCGCCTTGTACGTTCTCCTTGGCGGAGCAGTGTGCAACACTCTCATCAGGTTATAAGCCCTCGCCGTAGGTTTTGGCTGTGCTACAACCGGATGCTTTACGACCCATACAGAGGGCTTTATACCGTTTGGGAAGGGGTGCTTGTAAGGTTTTCAGGTCCGTCCAGATCTCCAGGCCTGCCGTCCTACATCAGGAGGGAGCGTGACAGGATTCACATCTCTTCTAGCTGAGCGGTGCGACGCGTCATCAGGTTTTTCCATACTCCCGCCTTAGCCCGGGCACTCTCCAGCCCGTTCTCTCGTCGGATGCTGTAGCTAGCGACGGATTTAGTTTGGACGTCATTTGGCCCCGTACCGGTTTTCAAAATATCGCAGAGGGTCAAAAGTGGGAAACGTTTCCTCGAGCCCCTTGCTGTCAACTTGGCAGTATGAGTGAGACTGTATCCCTACTACCTGAGTAGCTTATGCTGCGAACGTGGAACAACTCCTTGGCAATCCAACCAAAAACAGCGAGTGATGCAGCTGTGAACACATCAATGATACTGGCAAGTGAGAGCGGACTGACGGGGCTTCATGCTCGTTGTCCAAGATTGCAAGACCCGTGGACTCCTCGCCCGTGACAAACTTGCTATTCATTTCTTCTTCCCAGTCTACTCTCTATGGCCAACAGGCAAAAGAGCTCACCACCTTCCCACTACATGACGGCGGAGAAGCTGAAAGATGCGTATGAGAGATGATCGGGAATCTCACCAAGTGTGGCGGATCGCCGGCGACAGGCCTCTCGTTTAGTCCTCAAGTTATAAGAGGCCCCCCCCCCCCCCCCTTCACCCTCAGACTATGTTGTCGACTGTAACAACTCAAACATAGATCACTCCTACACAATTCTTCTTCGCATCCACAAAATCTAGCCTTATTTCATTGTCTTGAAGATGGCCGTGGCAAGCCTCGACTACCGTCAATTCACCATGGGAAGCAAGGCAGAGCGCGAGGCGTTCGCTCGGACCTTGCACACGAGCTTCGAGAGAACGGGATTTGCCAAGCTCCATAGCCATACATTCAGTGAAGAGGAGGTCGAGAAATTGTTCATGTGGGTAAGTCACCCTTCCCATCCCGGGTTGTCTGAACATTCGTAGAGCCAGGGCACGACTAAATGGAGTTAACCCCCCCCCATACCCCGGATAGAGCCACAAATTCTTTGACCAACCCATGGAGGCGAAGAACCAGATTGCAAACGAGCCAGGGCCGAGGCCTATGCGGGGATACACCCCATGGAGAGTTGAAGAGGTTGCAAAACTTCACTGGAAAGGATCATGTTCGCGATTTCTCATTCTCTATAGAGCTTCCTCGTAGGAGAAGTCGTGCTGGTTGCCGCCGCCGTGGTAGGTGGAATGGCGAAGATTGGATACTTTTGCCGATGTTGAGAACAGTTGATTGTCTAACACTCCCTGAGACTATATAGAGGGAAGTAAGAGGAGTCAAGAATCCACTGAGACCGAGAAGGGTTGCAGAAGTCATGGTAGCCGCTCGATGGCTTTGTCGATCTATGAACTCAAAGTGACCAATCAACGACAGGCTTGGTTCAAGGTTGATGGTATGTAAGTTGGGCCGTGAACAACCTACAGGTACTGTATAACTTACCTTTATAACTGACTTTCATCCACCTTTCAAGCATTTGACCATTGCCCATATTTCTGCAAGTGTCAATTCACTCAGGCCCAAGTTCTTCGACACGTGAGACATATTGTCCGCGCTGCGAAGGTTTCATCCGGGGTCTTAGATCCAACTTGTTGAGTCCTGGACTCCCTCCAAGCCTTGCCAGTCATCAAACACCAACTTACTTGAGGGACACTAAACTGATCCTGTGTCCGATCCCCTAAGCTAGACCTATTCCTTAATCAAGAGCTTCTAGACTTTCAGTCTTAGAAGCAATCGCCGTCTCCAGGCTCTGAGACCCACCTTCCTCAAACATTCGGACGTCCGAAGATCACGGAGTACTGTTCAGGTAAGGTACCCCCAATCAAAGCAGTTCTCAACTATGCTGATGCCTCTATATCTCTAAAATACCCTTTGTACGATGCTAACAAAAATCACCAAGGGATCTCCTCTCCACGATAAATCTCCGAACTCTCCACATGAATATTCTTAAACGTCCCGTTCGACTTCTCATCCACCGCCACAATCACCTCCAGCACAGCCTTTGCGCCCTGGGAAACGGTGAGGTCGGCCCCACTGCCCCCCATATCGGTTTGCAGCCACTTTTGCAGCCACCCCGCCAGATTAGCCTTGCGCCCGCCAACGAGAAAGGGACGCTGGAAAACTCACCCCCGGATGCACTGCCATGAACACGAACCCGTCCGCCTCGTAGGACAGAGCATACTGCACCGTCAACGCATTCAGCGCCGCCTTGCTGACCTTGTACGCCGGCAGTTTGGCGTAGTCGTTGGCGCGCGCGCGGGCCATCGAGCCGTACTGGCTTGAGCTACGCACATGTCGTGAGAATCAGCCCTATCAGAACAAACCGAACTAGAACGCAGCACCAAAGTGGACGGGAAATGGAAGCAGGAATTCGACGAACATGTTCATAACCTTTTTTACCGGCGCACCCTGCATGAGCGGCAGGTACGAGCGGGTGACATTATGCGTGCCCGTCACGTTCACCGAGAGCGTGAAATCGAGGTCCGCCGAGGAGCTAGATATCCAGTCCTTGGGGTTAGTACGCTGGATCCAGATGTAATTGGTTGACGGGAAACGAAGTTGAGGGGAAAGAAAAAACCGAGACTCACACCAACCCAGCCTTCTCCTGCGTCTCCCCAATAACCCCGGCGCAATTGACCAGGATCTCGAGCTTCCGATCCCCCCCCAATACGCCCCGAACCTCCTCTGCGGACCGGACGACGCTGGCCTCGTCGGTGATGTCCAGCGCGACGAACGCCACGCGGCCCTTCTCGCGCGCGATGACCTCCTCCAGCGCGGGAGTGGTGTTCCGGGCGGCGGCGATGATGAGGCCGTTCTCAGGGAGGAGGGCGGCGAATTGCTGGACGAGCTCAAGGCCGAGGCCGCGGGAGCTGCCGGTGATGAGGATGGTGGACATATCTGCTTTTGAAAGGATGCGTTGGAGTGTCGATTAGTGCCGGGACATAGGCAAGTAGTCTGTTTTCGAACGGGGACGGTAGCGTAGTTATCTATGGAGGTTTAGATCCAGAAGGTCGATTGGATCTGTCAGCATGGTTTCTACCAAGTGGATCTCGCCTCAATTGATTTGTTGGCGAGTCTTGCTGTCGCTACGGACCCATCCAGGTCCGCCCATTTGGGTCCCTTTTTCCGCTGGCAAAAAGAGCTTCCCGAGGCTTCCGAAGGCCGAAACTCGTCTTTCCGGAGGGAAGTGATCTAGAGCTACTAGTAAGTATACTATGTGCCGATATTTGTTTGACATTGTGATAGTTATACCATGATAGGGACACGGGCTATTCAAGAAGGATGGACTTTACAGTGAGTGCCTCAGGATCTCGGTTAACTAAATCTTAGTGTCTCCTTCGACAAGGATTAGACTCCTGGATAGGCTATGAACCGTGCCATCGGAACTAAATTTACATGCCGAACTCCCTCCGGGCCGTGGGCCACCTTTCCCAAGTAGTTCGGATCTCCGTACAGGACTTGGGAGAGTATACACACCTTATCTAGCACGTGGAATTGCTGCCCCCAGAGGAGGTCCAAAGACCACTGGGAGAGCAAAACACAATGAATCCCCAAGATCAAAACCAGTCATTATTCATAAAGATGCCGTAGTAACCCTAAAAATACAGTCCATCCCAGAAATGCTCCTCAACAGGCCTTCAACAACAACAACCCCCTTTGCTCTAACCAAATGAGTGCCGCTCACTCCACCGCATGCTCCGTCCCCTTCTCCCCAAGCTCACCCTCGCCCATCGACTCCGAGTTTCGTCTACAGCTCACACATCAGCCCCTCCCCAACCCAACTCTCCACAAACAGTTTTGTCCGTGAACGAAAGGAATGAGTCAACCATACCGCGCATTAAACTCCTGAATCATACTCGCCATATTCCCCGCCCCGCTCGATCGCCGATCCGGGTGATCGTTCGCCGCGCCCCCGAAACTGCCTAACAGCTCGTTGATTCCTGCGACAGTATCCACGGTCAGTCAGTCAGCATCAACGAGATTCCCACTACTGTTCATGGAAAAACTCGGGATGAACTGCAGGCTGAACACATACGCTGCTGATCCTGGTGCCTCTCCGCCTCGGCCAGTTCGCGCTGCGCGGAGCTCTTGCGGCGGTCACGCTTGAGGTGGCCGTATTTCTGGACGAGGTCCATGTTGCTGTTTTTTCTGTACTTGGGGGCAAAAGAAAAGAAATGGTTATTTGATAGAAGGAGATTTGTTTCAGGTGACAATCATTCAAGTAATAACCCCACTAGCTAGGAGCAGGACAGACTACGAGTGCTCTATATACCAACCCGACGAAGGTCATTGCATCATCGCAGTCCACCAACCTTCCAATCATCATCATCATATGATCTCCCATTGACACGGCACCAGTGCCAATAACATGATCCCGTATTGAGATCTGCTTTGACAATGTGGTTGGTGGGCACCACTGGTTTCGCCTCTTCAGTATCGAGAATCATGCGTCATCGTGGCTGTGTTTGGTTTAAGCTCAGTATGCTCCCCTACTCCATCGGGGTTGCGTTCCGCTTGCAAAAGCCAAGCGCTCGCCCCCCAATCCCCAACGATCGACGGGAAGTGATGCCTGGATGACATTACTCCACTTGGCGTGAGGACCCCGGATTTTTAGCTGATTGGGGGATTCTGATTATCATGTTCTGGACACGAACTGTAATCGTATTGTGCGAAGCATAATTCCTGAGTTGTGCGGGGATCACATCCGGAAATGGACACGGCTTTCGCCACTCTGCCGCAGCTTGTTTGGCTCGAACCCGGAGGTCAGGGGAGGTGAAGAGGGGCATTGTGCAACCGGAAAAGCTTCGGAGTGCGTATTCGCAGCTATCTACTCACACGGGAGCAATTATACTCTACTTCCGTCCGCCTCTGGTTTGGATTACTGCTAAATACCGGGTATACAGCACAGCCACTACGCCCTACTCGAACCGCTGCAACTCCGAGAGCACGTCCACCAGCGACGCCGTCTTCGATCCCTGGGACGGCCGGTTCGCGTCCTCCCCGAGAGGAATGTAGAAAGCCTTCCAGCCGGCCTCGATCGCCGCGCGATAGTCCTTGTCGTAGTCGTCGCCCACGTGCACGCACGTCCATTCGCTTGTATCGCTGCCATCCTCACTCGCGCCCACCAGCTTCATGGCTTGGCGCCGGGCCACCTCGAAGATGACGGCGCTGGGCTTCTCCGCGCCCGCCGCGTAGCTGGTGATCACCATATCCAGATCGTAAATCCGCTCGTCGCCCGCTTCATTGTTGACCCGGGACTCATCGCGCCCCCGCATCTCGAATCCCGGCAGTCGTGTACTCGAGACATCCTGATCGGCCCGGCACATCCCCACCCGCAAACCCAGCGACTCCAGCACGGCCGGCACCCGGTCATCGGAGTTGGACACCACGCCGACCACGACGCGATCGAACGGGCCCAGTCGCGTCCTGGTGCGTTTGATGTGGCGGAGTCGCGTGAAGAACGCGTCGGCGTTGGCGTCGAGGGCGTAGCCGTCCTGGCATGCGAAGCGGTCGAGGAGGTGTTGGACGAGGACGTCGGGTACTGTGCTGTTTGTGGGGGTGGGGGACGAGGAGTCGGCGGCAGCGGTGGCAGAGCTAGGGGCATCTAGAACGCGGGCGAAGCTGCCCCGGATCACCTCTTCCCACCATTGTCTCGGCCCGCCGTACTCGCCGCGCAGAGCTTGGGCGCGACCGTAGTTGGGGTGGGCTTTGGATTGGGCTTTGAAGACGGCCTTGAAGGCGGATTGCAGGCGGTTCGGGGTGACGGTGGAGCGAGGGAGGCCGAATTTGTGCGCGGCGGACGCGTATTGCTGGGGAACGGGTTCGCGGGGGTGGAAGATGGTGCCAAACGCATCGATCGTGAGGAGGAGAGTGCGCGACTTGCCGGGGGTGGGGTTGGGAGGCATGGTTCGTAAGGCTGGAGTCGGTGTGTTGATGAAGATGGGCTCGGGGGGCTTGGTTTGGGCTCGGAGCGGCAAATGACGGAAGAGAATCTCGGGTTTAGTGCTTCGGTCTTCGGGCATACTTCCGGTTTATCGGGGAATAGTACTGGTTCGGGCAACTGAGTCCGCAATGATCTCGGCGATAAGATTAGATTGAAGTTCCTTTTTTCTCTTCCCACGGCTTATCTGCGGTTTGTTGCACTCAAGCTTTGTTTCAGTTCGTTTGACAATATCGGAATCGTAGAGAAAAACTGTTCGAGGACCGGACCATATCGAACTCAGGTTTGGTACCACTTCATCATGCAGTGTCCCTTGCAGCAGGCCAGGAACACCAGGGCCTCGTTCCACAAGGCCTGCAAGATAAAGGACTGTACGCCGTAAAAGTTGTCGCCTGAGCGCTGACGCGTCAGACCGACCATCCCCCACTAGGAAGTCCCCAATCGGGTTTTCCAGGCAAAAGTTGCCTCCTATTCTTCTCCCGCGGCGCCGGCACTTGCCTGGCATACATATATCAAGTCACTCCACCCATCTCCATTAACCCGCTCTTATCGTAGTCATCACCCCCTACACCCAGACACCACCATGGGTGTCTCCCGCCTGCTTGTATCGTCCCTACTATGGGTAGCGAGCACCAGCGCCACCACCGAGTTCTCCCCTAATGCAAACCACATCTTCAACTCGATCCACTCGTCGATGCGCCAATGGGGCTCTTCCCTCCAGCACAACGGCATGTCCTTCTTCCTGGCGACCGTCCCCGCCGGCACGCAGTTTTACCATGGCAACGCCAACCCCGCGCCGGTGAACGGGACGGAGTGGCTGGCCTTTGAGCCCGAGCATGCGCTGGTCTTTGCCCGGCCGGGCCCGTTTAAGAATCCGCCACCGCCTCCTCACGATGACGATGACGACGACGACGGCGACGACGACGGAAAAAAGGGAGACCTGCGGAAAGAGAAGCGGGCAGAGGTCGAGCAACAGGAGTCGGAAGGCGGTTGGCTGCACACCTACACCGCCGCCAAGGACCTTCGGCTGCTGTACGCGGACGGCATGGCAGCAGGGAAAACCGCCAACGGGACGCTCGACGGCGAGGACCGGATTCTGTTCCAGGATAACCTGCCCAGCGATGGGGCGATGCACGGAGAGCGCGCGCGCGCGGTTGAGTTCTGCCGCATGGCCCGCGAGGACTTCGACGGACGGCTGGACGGTTTCCTGCGCATGGAGGCCGGCTTCGAGATCATCCTCTGTGACTTCGCGCGGGATCTGAAGGAGGTGCGTGTCACGCAGGTCAAATCGAACAAGGAGTCTTCTGGGGGCCCGGGAGGACCGGGTAAAGGGAAGGGCGGCGGAAAGGGGAAACCTGGAAAAGGGGGGCCCGGGGGAGGCGCGGATTGGATGAAGGCGATCACGGCCCGGTATGGCGGCATCGGCGGCCACCGCGTCGCGCTGAACTACGAGACGTTCGTGTCCGCCTACACGTACGGCCTGGACCTGTTCCACTCGACGAACGAGACCTTCGCGCATCCCCGTCTGATGCACCTCTCCGCGCAGCAGCTGCAGCCCATCCGCGATGACCTGCACCGCCTCGTCCTGGACCACACCGCCGCCGAGAACCTGTACGACTGGCAGGCGATCGCCGACATGGTCGTGGAGCGCTACGCGCGCGAGATCCGCTACCTCGCGTCCGGGGACGTGGCCACGGTGGCCGACCTGCATGCGGAGATCGAGACCATGCTGGTCCCGTTCATCGACTACTCGGACCGCGATACCGACGCCGAGCGCGAACGCTGCGCGCACCAGTTCCTCCCCGGCGAGATCGCCGTCGATGGCGTCGCGGCCACCGCCATCCACTCCGTGGCCCGCAGTATCTGTGCGACCATGCTGGCCGCCTGGCAGGAGCCCGACTACCAAGCCGCCGTGGACCACTTCCGGGAGCTGATGAACTACCTGGCCTGGACGACGTGGAAGCAATGCAGTGGCTGCGGTGACCACGAGGTTTGCGTCGTCCCCATCTGGCCCATGGGCACTCTCGAGGACTATGAGCACCCGCAGTGTCGCGATTTCTCGAACCCCATCAGCCCCGGCCAGAGCTACTGGGGCGACCGCCGCGGGCCTCGGCCGCATGAGCCGGAGGATGAGGATGGGCAGGCATCGGGCTGGTTGGTGCGATTTGTCCGGTATGTGCTTGAGATCTTTCTGCGCATGCATATTTGAGGAGGCAGGGTTGGATGTTGGCTGAAGCACTCGATTGGTTTTACTTTTTTTAAAACTACCACATAAACTATTACCCCACAACCTATGCTAGTCTTTCTTGTGTGAGTTCTCTTCTTCGATTATTATCTGGTTCAAACTCGACTTCCGCCCCTTGGTGAAGGACTTCGCATTAGAAACGCCGTCCTTTCTGTTGAGGGGCACGGCGCTCATTTAGCAAAGAGAGTACAGGATAATAGCGAGGGGCAATCTGCATCCTGCATTGCGTTGCGCCGACATTCGCTTTTCTTTCCAAGCAGAAAGCGATAGACAGTGCTCTGTGCTCAACTGTGTCACTTGCATGGACTGAGACCCGCTTATCACGACTTAGTGCGTGAGCCCTGCATTAGAGCTCAGGTAGAATCGAAATCAGTTATACCCCCACACTCCTGCGACTTGATCCTCGGAAATAAGTCCGAAAAGCGTTAACCCGTTCGGGACCACCGTCTTCAAGTTCCGGCAGAACTTTCTGGTAATGATCCACGAATCCCTGTGCAACTGGAGAATCCTATCGTTTTTTGATGCCAACTCGTTATTGCAGTGACCATCCCTGGTCACTTCTTCACATGTCTCTCATACAAACCTGAGTCGGCTCCATAATATAGATGAATGTCTCGGCCCTCATGATCACATCCCAGCCTTGGCGTTCGCAGAGCCCCGAAATCGCCATGCTGCAATACAACAACCGCCTTCACTGCCTCTATGGTCACGAATTCCACGAGAGAAATCACAATGTTTCCCACAGAATGACAATGGCAATGCTGATTGCCCAACTAAAACCCTCCATAGAATTTCGTATTCGGCGGGAGTCCCTCCGCCTGGTCGTCTCTCTGCATCCGCTAGTCAGCACACTGAATGATTCCAACGTCGACAGCAACGGAGCCCATACCAGAGTCTCCGCCAATCCCCTCACAAGCGCAATCTCGTAGTCACAGCGGGCCAGCTGTTCCGGTCCCAAGTCGGTGAAGGTCGTTGCGACATCAAAGTCAATCCAGACCAGCCTGTCGGGGTCCCCACGGACAAGGAGGAGGTTTTTGGGGTAGATGTCCTGATGGTGCACACCCGCCTGGTGGATCTCGTGCATTTCCTCGATTGCCTGGGGATAGAGCGCGTCCGAGTAGGTCACGCAGTTCAAACTCTCTGCGTGGGGGAAATATTCCAGCAATATTGCGCTCGGTTTGAGCTTGTCTCGGGCGAAAGCTTGTAAAGCCGGATGGAATGCTGCGGGGTCCATTCGGTTGATGTCGCCGTGGAATTTGGGCACGAAACCGCGCGCGCAGACACCGGCGGTGAGGAGCTTCTTGTAAGCATTTGACTCGCAGCGAAATCGGTTCAAATCACGGCCCTTTTCGGTGCATCCAGGGTCGCTGTTGTCGTGGAATAGCTTCAATGCATACTTTTGTCCATCCAGATCTACCTCGAATATTGCAGACGAATCCGAGCACGTAATCTGCCTGATAATATTGATATTGGAGGGGTCCATGTCCATGTCCTTCAAGGGAGCGCTTCTTAGGTGCGTTGCGTTGTTGTGCTATGGAAAATCATATTTCTATTATCAAGGAGGTCGGAGCAGGTCAGAGAACAGAAAGTGGATGTCGGTCTTGGTTAATGAGAGCGGGATTACGTTAATTGAATAAACTTGACAATTTACTACTACTAGGTAGTTATGGACCGCTCGAGGCCCAACCGGCGGATCTTGCGAATCAGATCCACTACGTTGCCGCCGGTGGGAATCTAACGCCTAAGAATCAAGATCTCCAGAATACAACTGTTAGCAGCTACAGTCAATAGTTCACCAGATCATAGCGCGGTCATATGGATATTGATTACTTTTTGTGTACAGTTTCTGCCGACCGTATAGTAGGCGCACTCACTAAAATGATAGGAAAATGTAGACGGTCTATCCGATCTCAAGAGTCAGTCATGCAGAGATAAATGAAACCCTGCCATGTACATACAAATCTGCAAGTATGCATGATAGTATACGAGGGACCTTCAGCAGTGTGCCGTCTTAAAAGGAAGCTCTGACGCTTGCATTGTTAATTATCTAGAATGCATTCAGTTCATGACGGGCGCCACAACCCCTGTACGCTGAATCTCTCATTTGTTGTGGAATTCGATGGTTCAACATTCAAGGCCAACTCAGAAGCTCATTAACAGACGTGGTTTATATATAGCTTGTCACTCCCAAGGTCTGCTGCCCTGCAGTATTCCATAAAATAATCCTCTCGAGAATGCTGCAGGCAGATGCCCGGTGGTCACATACATCTTCTGTTACCATGTCCAACCGTCATACAAGTCGACACGGGAGTCAAGCGTTTCTCGGATATTGAAATAGAGGCAGAGCAAGACTGGAGAAAAATATATGATCCCGTTCCAAGACGACGATTGCAAAACCGTCTTGCCCAGCGCCGACACCGTAGATCTTTCCTTCGAGGAGCGTTGCACTTCAGGGGAGAAAATTGACTCTGTATAGGTTCTAAGAAAGAGCTACAAAGGTAGAAGCCGGCACTACCTCAGGAGAAACCTGCACCCCACGCACATGAGGCATATGCGGATTCAACTCATGCAAATTCTAACAGCAAGCGTAGAAAGCAGGTCCATACCCGATGCAATCCCCAGACGAGTCACCGGTTCGATAGCCCATCAGGAGAATGGTTAGTCGCATCGAAAAAGCCGGGAACGCTTGACTCGGAACATGCTCTGGGATCACGCTCTATAGTAATGCTGTAAAACCGTTACAGGAGGGTTGCCACTGATGCGTATATGATAGATCGAACCTCACAGGAACCTGGACAGCTTTTTAGTTGAGAGCTTGATTGCATGCACTGAACATGACCATTAAGTTCATTACCCTTACATGAGGAACAAAAATCCAAAACTGCGGAGAAGTGCTAAATGCAGTTCTGCGGATTGATTGTCTTATTGCGGGAAAGCATACGGTGCGCGAGAACAATTAGTAGACTCCTCAACTGCATGCTCATCATTTAGCCCAAAGATGAGAATATCTTCCGTCTCTGGTTTAACTTCAAGTTTAGCGATGATTTTCTCATTATCGTCACCCTACGTATTATCAGCTGCATTTATGATTCCACAACAGATGTATAGTCTATAAAGGCGCGATCTGCGCAGGCCATGGAGGGGGAAAACATCAAAACATTTGAAAAAAAGAGAGATCTCTGGATTTTATACTTCATAAAACCCATGAATGGAAAGCTGTCATTTCATTTTCTTTCAGTAGGCCTTTTACATAGACATGGGAACATGTAAGGACCAGGACCTTGAGACCGTCAACCCACTCAATAGTAAATATAGGGTGCTTTTTGGGAGTCAGCCTATAAGACGAAGTTTTGCTGAGAAAGAGATACATTATAACATGCTGCTAGAACGCGAGCTTCAAGATCACCATCATCACCACCATAACCGGTGCTCAAGCGCGTCTTCTTCTGTGAGAGTTCTCGATGAGCTGTAGATTCATGCACCTCCCCATTCCTTCTTGATGTAGAATAGTATAACACCAAAGAGGCGCTAAGCTGGACTCGCAATCTGTGAGAGTATTTTCCGCGGTACTCTTTGATATTGCGGTGACAAAGGTATATAGAATTATTATGAGATCTTCAAACGAAACAAAATATTTGGCCATTTAATCCTCGCAAAATGGGACAGTTTCTTGAAAGTTAACATGCAATAAAATCCCGAATTGTTGTGGATATATGGTTCGGCTTATCATAGTCGCGGCAAAGACGAAGTACAGACTCGAACTGCCGGCAAAATCTCTCTATTGCTTCAGATTTGGAATATATTTCTAACCGACATCTTGTATTCTTGCTCACAAATCCCATAAATCCTTTATAGATTCGCATATTGGGTGTATATAAGGCTTTGGTATGTAGCTCAAGAAAGCTGGATCCCATGAGTAGTAGATTTGCCTAGACAGGGGAGCTTTTCTAACTCACTAGAAGGACATTGAATCCTATCATGGATTTTCGTTCTGAGTTGTCATGGTCGTCGCGGTTGACTTGCTGGTAGACTTATGAGCGCACTGCTTTCACCACCATACTTAGCAGTATACCTCAGCGCACAGAGAGAACAACCACCATGTGGAGGATAGAAGATACAGATTCTGAGAGGTGAGAGATAAGACGAAGTCTTATACGCGGTCAGCCTGACTGCCCCGGTCAGCCCATCCCGGTAGCGCAGCACAATTTCAGAGGGGTCCGCTCAAGACGCTGACAGCGCCCCCGAAGCGACCTGAAGATGACTGAATGGACTGAATAAAGCAGCGACGACCAATCTGGGGCGCTCGGTGGCCACAAGAATACACTTTCTGTTGCATGCTTTTGGTGTTGAGACACCGATGTTATTTTGTATCACTATGGTTGGTCATGGGTCGTGTGTCATTCCCAGTACATCGGCAGATAGTAATTGTGAGAGTCAAAGGGCAGCTCGCTTGCGTGGCGATAAACCAGTCGTACGTCGTGATTCCTCCTTCAATTTCTGCCTATTCAGCACTGGATCAACTAGAGCATCATGTCAAGTGTATATACCTCTCTAAGGTATAATTCAAGCTATCAGCCATACCAACCTGTAAAAGCATTGGTCCGAATGTTGCACGTGAGCCTCTTGGTCTCGATGAGCTGGGATAATTATCTAGGTTCTACGTTGCTGTCATGAACCTGTGAAGAAAACAGTAATCAAGTATAGTATATATCGGCAATTTTTAAGTCTCAGGGGTGAGGTGTATAGAACGTGTTCTTAATTCTCTTGGTGGTTGGAACTAACGTATCAACATGGGAAGCAACTTAGCAACGCGTTGCATCACGTGGCCGGATTACTCAGCTGCGCTGACA